GTGAGCTCGGCCCAGACCCTAGAGGTTTTTAAATCTACTCTTAAGACACACTTCTTCTCCCTGGCCTTTTAGTCAGAGCGGAGCACGACTCCTGACTTTTCCCTGTGTTTTTTTTTTCCCTGTCTTTAAATTGTGATTATAGAAATGTGTTTGTATGTGATTGTAGTTATTACATGTACAGCACTTTGGCCCGACCAAAAATCGCTTTTAAATGTGCTTTATAAATAAACCTTGATTTGATTTGATTTTGATTTGATTTAATTCAAAGAAAATCAGTAATATCTTTAAAAACTACAAGTCCTTTTCTATAAGCTGTGCACCGTTATGGGGTAAATATAACCTATCTACCAATTGAATCAAATATAAAAGTCAGCCGAATTACTATTGATACTGCAAGGAGACGTATTGTGTGAAGAGAAATTGAAGATGTTGTTTAATTGCTGATATATTTATGATCCACGTCACGTATTCAGTTTCGGTGGCAGTTCTTCCAGTTTGTCCAAAGTTCTTCTAATCAGGGCTCTATAAATAAAGAACTACGGCAGATGTGTAATATTTAATGCAACCGAACCGTGTATTACCACGCCGTTATGTGATGACTTTCAAAGAAAAAAGCAAGCACACTCAGAATAATAATATTTTCTTTTTCTTTTTAAATGTTTTCGGATTTCACATCGCATAAAGACCATATCCCAACCTGCATTGTGGCTAAAACATCCAACCACCGAGCTTCAACGATAGCTGAGGATTATGGGTAGTTCGATGTTTTAGCCTATCAAAATCTCTGAAAAAAGAAATGTGTCTTTCAGAATCTAAAGTGAAAAATCTATGGGAAAAACACAAAAGCAGTGTACACAATTTAAACAAATTAATGTAGTGTAATTAACAAGGATAAACTGATGTGTTTTAGTGGATGAGTACGGCAGATATCACTGTGAAATCATTTGACAGTGAGGGGAATACGGTTTTATTATGAAAACTTTGAGACCGGAAATACTGTTTTCACCCTGTGAGGGTTGACGCTAACTTTACATAGGGGGAAAGACATACACGCTCTTTTAAACTTTAAAACGTGACTATAGGTCGTAATAAGCTGCTGAACAATCGACCTATTTGGTCGTATGAGTTGGAGGACTTGTTGTTTCAATCATACTCTCTCACACACATAACTATTCTTATGCACACACCCTATCATTCTGTTTTATACATATACCTATACAGTCACATGTTGTAGCATTTTGCCATTACCATCGTACTCAAATGCTGGAAATAAAATCTCCCAAAATAAAAAGTTCTTCCAACAACCATTTAGTCAGTAAAACATGTGGTCCACAAATAGCCCTACTTTGTACTGATTTGCAACCATTTATTTTTCCTCTTTTACACAGTAGTTGAATTACTTTGAGACACCCACATTTCATTGCATTTCCATAGAGTTTTTCCACACTTGAAGACGCTGCATGATGACTTAGTGAACAAGAGCACAAAGCAGCAGCCTGAACAAATATGAATTTAAGAGGAAGAGTGTGGTTAACCAGAAGTCTTCTGGTTCATCAGCTGTTATGTTACAATACAAGTTTTAAATGTTTGCTCTATCTTTAGGAACCAGCACAGATAATATGTTTGACAGAGAAATAATTAAAGAACTCTATTTGTCATACAAAGTTGTTTTTTAGTAACCATACTTTGTCTTTAATTAGTTGGCCATTTGCAGTTGAAATAATTGACAGTTTGCCGAGGGAACTTCTGTAAAAAGATGCTTCATGGCTCAGAATCCTACCCTATCCTAATGTATCAATATTATAGCTGGTCATCTTTATAATATGTATTTAAAAGGAATTGTTTTGACTGAGTTGCATTTATATTGTATAAGTATATACAGTTATATTTAAGATGGAATTCTTATCTCTTCACATGGCAGTCCTTATTCGGGGTTTGAGAAAATGCCTGCTACTAAAATGAATGAGACTGCTAAATTGGAGACCTGCATCACAGAAAATTGCATGACAAAGTAAAGTGAGTAAACAGTATAAAGAAACTAAACAACTGCCCTTTCATGCGTATCCTGACCGCAGCCTCTGTGTGCCAACCAAAGGTAGCGTTCATGAAAACCCAATTAACTGCTTTAACACTTCAGTGAAAATGCCAACAAGCGCTTGTGGGATTTACGATTCTTAAATTGGCCCCTCATTTTATTTGCGGCCTCTGACTGGTTGTCCCTCTGATTATGCAGGTGACTTTAAGTGGAAACATCAGGACAATAGAATAGCATGTATTATCTGGGGGCATGGCTCTCACGCCATATAACCAAAGGTCGTTGTTCTCACCACCAACAAGGTGGTTTGTATCAAAGAGAAATCTGCCTTGAAAATAAATTCAAAAGAACGTGTTATCGCATTATCACACGAACAAAATAATGATCTTTGTTTTCTGAATTTCTTTTCAATTGATATCATGTTACTTTTCTCTATTTGTTTGCGACGTGATATCATCTTGACAGCTTTGTGTTTATACCTAATTGAAACCTCAAAAACGTAGAAGATAGCAGAGAAGAAAAATGGAACAAAGAGTCCGTCAATCAAAATGTATCTTTTCATTCGAAATGTGATCTACCATCTCAACCATGCATTATTTCCCACAGAAACATATCTGTACTGTTAATTATTTATTGAATAAAGGGAAAGCCTATAAATATGTATTGTTGTTCTCAAAGATGTGTTGTCTTCTCAGAGATTCTACTGTATGATTGATATTCACAGCATCCAAGGATCTATTATGAAGATGAATGGCTGTTTCTCTGAGAGCGTTGATTGAATTAATAACTGGGAAAAAGTTTGACAGATTTTTTGAAAAGCATTAAAGACACTATAAAAAATTACTTCCATATGCCTTGTTATGTGAAACTTGAGCACTGTTTGTAATTCCCATGGAGTAAAGATGCAGGCAGCACTGTTTAGCCCTGTTCTTCTGGATTCCTCTGTCTCACTCGGTACTCCTTGTTGCTGCTGCAGAGCACAGGGAACTGTGTGGAGAATATCTGACCTCCCAACATCTGGAAGATAGCTTAATGATCATTAAAAACAAGATATCCTAAATGACAGGGGGCAGGGTACACTGAGGTTTAGGTCTCCATCTATTTACATGCACTGGATTTGTGACATGCAAAGCAGATACTCAGAAGAGAACCCGCCTGAGACCTTTAACATTTAATTTGGTCTTGTTCTAAATGTATAGGCAAAACAAAACTGACATTCTCCTGTGTGAGGGTCTGGTGTCTTAACATTTATATTCAAAGTTAAAAGTATAAGAGAGCTTAAGAACAAGTATTAACCAACACAGCTGCACCTTAAAACATAAATCTGTTGACTGCCATGAATCTAAGTTGATGTGATGTGTATCACATTAACATCCTGAAACATGAGAGAATTTGTGATTAAAGCCTTCTTTAATAAGCCTAAAATACCTAATTGCAGCTTGCAATCTCGTGCAATGCTAGTAATTAACCACAGCACATAGTTTCCTTCACTTACACTCCAAAAGACAAAAACAACTGGTTTTAAAATTCTACTAACAGCAACAGCAGGCTGTTTGTGGCCCATGAATAATGTGCAGGTCAAAGGTACCGGAGCTAAAGGATATTGAGTTAGTCACTCTCTTCAAATGGTAAGTCAAAACAGATACAATTATTCACTGACCAAAATTTCACTAAAGTAGCAACAGCAACAGCCTCATTACCTTTACAATTTCTGTGACCTCAGTTCCTGTCCTCAATAAATGAAGGCATTGATTGACACAACTTGTATATTATGCCCCAAAGCACATTACTGTCTTGGGTTTGAATGTTGATACGAACAACTTAAGCCTTGTTTTTATGCTTTCTAAGTTGTCAGCAAACATCTTTGCACTGTTTGCCATTATAAAAAACACGATTCTAAACTTATATATCTCCATATTGTGTTTATTGGATGATTGACAATGAATGTCCTTGTTCAGCATAGTATTCTATGCATTTTAAAAAGAGGAACAAAAGCAGAACACATATCATGCCTGTCAAATAATCTTTGACATGTTGATTACGGGCAAACACATGACCTAAAATCACCCCTTGCTATCACACTGTCTTTGAACTTGTTGATGCAATAATCAAATTGAGTCATATGCGGATGATCAAAAATCCTGACAAAGGAAGAAGACGGGGATGATTAAGAAAAAGTAAGCAAGGGAAAATGTTTTCTCCAAATGACATGTTTGGAAAATATGTCACTTGCAGGAAATCATCACATCAGGGGCCATTTACTGTAATTAATGTGGGTGGGTGAGGGGCTGGTTCCCTGTTCAAACCTGGAGTAATCACAAAAACACTTCTACATTTGGAGACTGTGCATTTCCCTTGCATCCCTGATTGAAACAAATGAGGCAAATAATTGAAAGTGTGGTCAGTTTACTAGGGTGAGGTCTATCTCCAGGCCTTTCACATCTCACAACAGACGACTATATTTATACAATTCGATTTCGAGAGATATTGCAATCAATGTAACAGGCAGGACGAAACAACCTGCCTTATAATGACTAATAATCACAACATTAAAGGGGCCAACGCCTGGAGTTAGTAATGCAGAGCTCAGTGTATGTTTGACATGTCAGGTTTTCTTTCCACTAGTCAGTTAGCTATTAGTGACATCTTCCGGAGCAGCAGAACACTGCAGTTCAGGGATAAAGCTACGTCAGCACCGCACTACGTGGAAGATGGAGCGGGGGAGGAAGCTTGACGGTGATGCCACATTCAAGGTATTACCCTTCAAAATAATAGCATCCATTCACATTATACGCTTCCAGCCTCTCATTTATTAAAATAAAACGAACTCAAGAGTGAAGATCCTATGTTTTACTTGAAGTGCATTGATTTTAAACCCCTGCCATCTGACTTGCAATAGAATAAAAATCACACAGTATTTTATTTCGAAGTGCTACTAAAGCTGTTAGCTGGATGGATGCAGGGATTTTCTGGCTGAATTACATGAAAGCAGGCAGATAACGTGAACGTTGCAGGAAAAACAATGGATAACAATGGATGGATTTAGCTTTGAATTATAGCTAATACAACAACGGTGCTTTCCCGTTGAACATTTTGCTTTTCAAGTTTGCTTTAAGTGTGAATAACGGCTTTTTTCTCCTCGGAAGGCTGGACTTCAGGTTTTCGACTGGTGAGGAAGCTAGCTGTCAACTACTATAGCCACTTCAGCGCCGCTGAGATTAGCCAGCCACATTAGCATCAATGTAAGCAAAAACAAGAAGATACTTTATGTCAATGTGGACTTGAACGCTGTATGGTAGGCATGTTGTGAAACTGCAAACATAATATTATCTTTAAGTGTTACTGTGTGCTGTCTTGCAGAGATTAAAATATGGCAGACAGTATCATGAGCAAGGCTGCAACCATGGAGATCCCCATTAACAGCAATGGAGACACAGGGACTCTGCCAGAGGATGACAGCCTCGAGCAGGTCAGTCACATTTTCTCTCAAATCGCTGACAAGGTTTTTTAAATAAATCTGTTTTTTTGTGTTTTTTTGCTCAGATTGTTTGTTTCTCGGACCCTTTTCACGCGATACACATGACTACTGCTGTTTAGGCCAGCTGTTACACATCAAACAGGCCTGCAGATGTTTACAGGATCTGTAATGTTATACCACTGTCCCCATCAATACCTACATTATGAGAAATATGGGTTTAGAGCATGGATAGTGAGCACAAGGATGACATTTATTTATGAGCTTCAGCTTGCATGAAAAGCAATTCACGACTGTAATGTCAGATATAATGTCACATTCTTGTACAGGGATGAGAAAGCTGCAGTATCAGTTGTCCTATGAATAATATGTCTGTGTGAGGACAGTAGGGTCACCATACTGAATAATGAAAAGAGCATATAAGCTATTTCTGTGTGGTGACTGTGCAGGTTGACTCACTGTCAGTTGACAAAGTATGACTAATTCATTGATTTAATCGACAGATACATAAAACAGATTTTCTCCTTAAAGAAACTTGCAAAAGTAAAGCTTTAAACCGTGTGTTACCAGAAATGTGTTTATAATTGTTTGTGAATGAGTCATTTAGCATGAAAAGTTTTAAAACTAAAGAAAATAGATCTCAGTGGACAAAGGCCAGAACATACAGTTAGTCCACTAAGAGTGGGGTAGCCTTGGGCAAATAGCTTCTTTTTTTTTATTTGCACACAAATTCCTAGTTTGCACTATTCTTTTTTCATAGTATTATTATTCTTTATTTGGAATATATCATTATCAGAATCAGAAATCTTTTATTTGTCCCGCAACAGGGACATTTACATTATTACAACAGCAGATAGTGCAGATAGAGTGAGGCAAAAGTGCTAAGTATGAACACATTATTAATAACACAATAAGTAACAAACAAAATGATGGTATTGAGATTATATTGCACTTGCATGTATATTGTTAGTGCAATATAACCTCCTGCAATTTCACGTTATAGTAACGTATAGTGCATAGTACTGTATTGTACAACTACTGAGTTTTTCATGATACATTCTTTTTAAGTTGATAATGTCAAAAGATATAGTCACAGTTTCTAAACCATTACATTTGATAATATGTATTGCATTCTTAATCATATTAATTAACAATATTTTGTGGTGATCGCATCAGGACTTGCAGCAGGTGATGGTGTCTGGACCCAACCTGAATGAAACCAGCATTGTCTCAGGAGGTTATGGAGGACCTGCAGGGGGCATCATTCCTACCAGCAGCATCAAAGGTATTGTTCGGAAAAAAACTGCCATCCTTACAGGTTTCACTTTGTTGCATATTCTTACGAACATGGTTTGCTCTCCAAAGATGTCATTGATTTATCCACATCTACAGGCTGCACAGACTGCCATGCGCTGAGCAGGAGATTGTCGCAAACCTTAAGTCTCCTAAAGTGGTCGATACCTGACCCCCCTTTTCTCTCTTGTATTTTGATGTTTCACAAGAGTCTGACCTCTAGGCTCCAGGTTCACATTATAAACATCCATATCCCATAGGGCCAGCAGTACGCTTCAACCCTGAGTATGTGGACAGAAGAAGAGCCCCTGCTCCGGGACCAGGTGGCTGTGTATTCTGACAACCCTTTTTTGTTTTCAAAATTAACCTATCGGTTTGGCTCTGTATAAGAGGTTTTGATATTGCTTGACTGAGGATGTTATATGAAACCTTGCTTGTACCTCTTCAACTCACAGCTTCAGAAACAGAAAGTGTTTTGGCAGCTTCCAGGATTATGGGTGCACTAACCTGATACAGGGCTGTCACTTTAAATGTTGCATTGTTGTCTAATACGACTGTCCTCTTTTTCCTGTAAAATGCACTTTGGATGACAGTTTTTCATTGTTTGGTAGTTACCTCTCATCCCATGAAGTCCATTTTCATCTGTGAATAAACCCTTTCCTTCTGCATGAGAGACCGGCATGGTAGATTATTTCGAAATCCCTTTAACTCCAATTTATTATGTATCCTCCATCACAGAGCTTTACATTTTCTTTCAGTCTGCAAACTCTGCTGTTCAGCCGCATATCTTAATGCCAAACCTCTTTTTGACACATATTTCACTTCATGCCATCTTTTCATTCTCACTCTTTATCATCCCCATGCTCATTTCAGACATTCGCATGAAATCCAGGGGTGTTGGCTTGCCAAACAGCCAATCTGCAGCAACTCGACTTTCCCAACACACAGACCAGCATCCAGGTATCACCAGGCTCATCACCATGTCCACACTGTTCTCACTCATTGTCATAGTCCATGCTTTTCATTTATCCCCCCGCCTTTTAAACTTTGATGACATGCATTAGAGTCTTCATAGATTTTTGTTGTGTCTGTTAGGGTCGTCGAACAATAATACTGGTAATTCAACCGAAGAACTTTCTCGTGGTGTGGCAGTGGAGAAATTGGACAGTGTGAAGAAATGGGGCATAAATACATACAAGGTATTGTGTACTGTGTGTAGATTATTTTCTTTCAAAAGTTTCCACAAGCTCAAAAATATATATGCTTGCACTATTTATCATTCTTTGCAGAACCAACATACATTTGAGAATATAAGCATGTAAGAGAGTTTTAAAATACATTATGTGAAAATTGTAGGTATCCTTTGGTCCCAAGCTTAACCGTGTTGTTAATATATCAGTTTTATTATGCAATAATAAATACTAAATACTTTGATAATAGATTGACCTAATCCATTATCAAAGTATTTAGTGCTTTGGACTTACAAAACAAGACATTTCAATCACCTTGGATTTTGAGAACCTGGATTAGACATTGTTCACTATTTTCTGAGTTTAGGATTAATAGTTGAATCTATAAATGATCAAGATTAATCTATATTTAAAATAATTGTAAGTTGCAGCACTAGACCACCTTTTACATGTGTTTTTCAGTCATAATGACTTTGTACTACCTTAAAGGTAGGGTAGGTAAGAATGGAGAAACCAGCTCGAGTGCGCTAGAATTTGAAAGTACGCAGCCGGAAAAAATCTGCCCCTTCCTTCAGACTTCCTTACAGAGCCCCTCCTCCAACACACACGAACGCGCACATGACCAATGAGGGTACGAGATAAGTTTGTGCACGAGATGGAAGGCTGACAGGCAGGTAGGCCATCCAGTTATTTTAGCCGGGCCGGCTAAAATAATTGGTCGTGCTTTTTACAGCGCCATGGCTTCCACAGATGAATTGATGTATTTATTGTTAAAGCATTTCATGTATCGGGATGTTAAGAGCATTCCATGGAATATAACAAAAAGTGTTTCTGAAGTGAATTACCTACCCTACCTTTAATTTAATCTGCTTTTCTTTATGCATTTCCTCTTTGTAGTGTACAAAGCAGATGTTCTCAGAGAGGTTTGGCAGAGGTTCAAGAACAGTAGACCTGGAACTGGAAGCTCAGATTGACGTGTTGAGAGACACCAAGAGCAAGTATGAAACCATCCTAAGACTGACCACTGCACTCACCACTCATTTCCAAAGCATGGTGGAGACACAACAGGCGCTGGGAGACACCTTCGCCGACCTCAGCCAGAAGTCCCCAGAGTTGCAGGTACTGTTCAGTATTGCAAAAACTCCCAGTGTGATGTGAGAGGGAACTGAAGTTGACAGGTAAAATTGTGTTTCTCTGCAGGACGAGTTTGGGTATAATGCAGAAACACAAAAACTGCTGTGCAGAAATGGCGAGTCTCTCCTCAGTGCCATCAGCTTTTTTGTGTCCAGTATCGACACACTGGTCAACAAAACAATGGAGGACACTCTGCTGACCATTAAACTGTATGAGAATGCAAGGTAACAAAACCTGATAGGTGAAGAATATGATCTGAATACCTTTGTGGTTATCACCTGGAGAATGAGAGCCTGACAGCCTGAACTGGTTTTTTTCCGTGCAGACTTGAGTTTGATGCCTATCGTTCTGATATGGAAGAGCTGAGTTTGGGCCCCAGGGATGCAGCTGCCATGGTCCGCATAGAGATGGCTCAGCATGATTACCAGATCCACAGAGACAAATATGAAAGGCTGCGTAGTGATGTCACCATCAAGCTCAAATTCCTGGACGAAAACAAGGTTTGTGGTTTAAAGTCATTTCAAATGTCTGTAGTAGCTTAATACCTCCGGAAATCTGTTATTGTTATATCTGATCTCCACTGGATTAATGTCTCAGATGTCTGCAGTGATGTGTAGGTAAAGTATTCAGGACCCTATGACATCACTGTTGGGAGTGTCTGCAACATTTATGACCTCACCCAACCCTAACCATCAGTGATGCTGGGTGTGGTAAGAGCTCAAACAGGCTTAAAACTGTCAACCAGTGAAACTCCTCTCTTCAGTCCGATGATAGGTTACCTCTTTAAAAAGACTCACAATTACCTGTCATTCTGAATGTAGAATAAAATCAGTAGTTTGGTTAATCAAAACTATTATGCACTACAGCAGTGGTTTGAGGTTGAGTTGCCCCACTCAATCTCTGCCCATATGCATCTATTGACGCAGAACTGATCAACCAGAGGAAGCAGGCAGGCTTCTTCGTGCACAGACATGAGCATAATTATGCTGTTAATAATTACAATAAAAAGCAAATGTCTCAGTTTTGTCAAAATTGAAACTGAGACATTGTTTAAAATCTGAGACATTGTTTAAAATCAAACACTAATGTCTGATAGTTTTCATCAACTAAGTAAGAAAGAATTACATCAACATTTGTTTGTATTTGAAGCTTGGGAATACATAGAGGAATAATATGTGCAAGTTGCTTTCTGGTTGATTCCCTAGAATCTAAATAAACCGCTTGTAAATGTTATCTTAACAGATGTCCATGGGATGTACTCTTCCTCTAGAATTTAGAAACTGTTAGTAATGGCAACATTTCCCTCTTCTTTTTTCTTTAGGTTAAGGTTATGCACAAGCAGCTGCTTCTCTTCCACAATGCTATCTCAGCCTACTTTGCTGGCAACCAGGAGCAATTGGAACAAACTCTAATACAGTTCAATGTAAAGTTAAAGCCCCCGGGAACAGACAAGCCATCCTGGCTGGAGGAGCAGTAGACTGGGCTGGTTGAGGTGTACAGTGACAGCCGACGGCTGGTCAGGGAGGATCTTGACATTGGGGTTAGATGGGCAAGAATGAAATGCATAAATGAGTATGTTATAGGATCATTTGTGTTCAGTGATACAGCAAATGTAAGATTTTCTTTTGTAATGTTTTTAAGTATCACATATTACTTAGACAGTACAACTATTTTAGTTGTACTTTGATTTTTTTGTTAAGTCACAAATTACTTTTTGTTACTTTCTTATCCTTTAGGTAGCACAATCATGTATCACCTTTTTATGTATGTACAGTATAGTCTACTATTGTGGAAATACTCCTTGGCAGTTTTGCACATGCATTGTTTTGTTTTTGTATTATGTCAAAAGCGTTATCTTATATTTATATTTATATATATATATATATAAATATAAGATAACGCTTTTGACATAATACAAAAACAAAACAATATATATATATTCAGAGTATATCACATTGGAGGAACTCCACAAATCAGATAAGCTGGTGGGATGATATAAAAAATATTATGAAATATTCTATGCATGACTGAACCCTATTTTTTCAAATTTAGTTTCACAAATTTAAATCAGAGCCACCAGGATAATGCATAATTTTCAAAGTTATCCCACCACGCTTCTAATATCACCTTGTGGTTTACCTCCCTGAATGGTCAGTTTGCATAGAAGGGAAAATATAAATACACATAGAGTGATTCAAGTGATTTTCTTTAACCTAATATATAATCCATAGCTATTTTGATATCCTACATTTTGGGTAAGAGATGTGAATTCAGCACACTATCTGTCATGTTTACTCCAATGTTTATATATGGAAACAAGCCTCAATAGTTGTTACACTAAGTAACTCTACATGAATCCATACATCAGATGCTTCAATCAATACAACTTCTGAACAATCAATATGTCCTTGCAATCCAAGGTGCAATTTAAAAAAAAAAAGAGCCTTCAACACTCATTCTTGAAGTCTCAAATCCTTAAATTCATTTCAGTGTCTCTTAAAGGACCGAATGTATACGTACTGTACATTTCTTATTCTGTGTTATTTATTTACCAATTGTTTTGTGACACAACATTGTATGGTACGTGCATTTATTTTCATTCAGATGATTGTCTTTGTCTTGTTCTGCATTTCCAATAAAATCTGCTGGATGTTTTGTTTCACTTAACTGTGCTGTCGACACAGATCCTTCAATTTTATGTGGGAAGCTCTTAAAGATGATGTACAGAAAGCTCACAATATGTTATTGTATGGCAACATTAATGATGTACTCTCAATACAACCTGATATATCTTTAACATGCTTTTCATAATTTATTAATACATTTAAAAACTTCAGTTTCTAAACCAGTGATACCCATCAGATCCCTTGTATGCATTTACTGTATTCGACTGCTGTCCCAGCTAGCAGGGAACGTTCTCACAACTTTGGCTAACGTTACCTACAGGTTCTAATAATGTTTTAAAGAAAACGTTTTAATCTGATGTTCAAAGAACCTTTTGAGGATGTTTATCATTTTAAATAATGTTCCTATAAGGTTTAAGACATAACGTTTTAACTGCAACATGATGTTTTGAGGATGTTATTAAGGCCTGAGATGACAGAAAGTTTTTTATAAATTGTTCCTTTAATGTGATATGTTAACAAAGGTGGAAAGTTTTGCCTGCAACATTCTAAAGATGTTTTTTGGACGTTGTTGAGGTAACACATTACAGATGTTCTTTTATAACACATTACCTCAATGTTACATGATAACAAAAGAAGAATATTTTCAAAGCAACATTCAGAAAATGTTTTAAGGATGTTATGAGGCCTGAGATGACAGAAAGTTTTTTATAAAACGTTCCTTTAATGTGATATGTTTACAAAGGTGGAACGTTTTGCCTGCAACATTCTGAGGATGTTTTTTTGTTTGGCCTGAGATGACAGAACGTTTTTTATAGGTTTTCAGGAGGTTATTCTTTTTTTATAAAACGCTCCTGTGATGCGAAATATTAACACGGTCATTGTCAACGTCAGATTTATTTGTAGAGCGCTTTAAAAAATAAACCAGGTTTGTGCCAAAGTGCTTTACAACAAACAGAATTGAGCAGGAGTTGTCATAAAACACAAGTTGTTGCATTTGTTTGAAAAGGATGTTTTAAAAAATCTGATGTCACCACATTTTCCTTTTGAAAAAAACAGACAAGCACGTAATTCGTGATAAACTGTAAGCAGATATTGAATGTTTGCGGTGGCATGTGTGAGTTCCCAGCTAGACATTTTTGGTTCTAAAAACATTCTGAGAATGTTACCATTCATTGTTCGAGGAATGTTTTCAGCAGGAAGTTTTATTTTGGTTCCCAGAATGTTCTTCTGAAAGGTAGGATAACGTTCTCTAAAAACATTCTTAAAATGTTTGGTGATAACCTTCTTAAGATGTTTTTGATAACATTGTTAGAACATTATGCCCTACTATTCTTAAAATGTTTTCAGCTGCAAGTGCTTTTGTTGTTTATGCACATGTCTCTATTGTCATATTGATAGAATAACACTTAGAAAACCAAATAGGTTTATTTTAAAAGCCACTTTTAGTCGCCAGGAGTATCGCCGATTAACGTTGGTACTCTCCTCTGGCAGCCAAGTTGGTGCATTTGCATAATGGCTGTATGAGCGTATTGAGACAATGAATAGGACGTATAAAAACGAATTTGCATGCCAATATTCACTCACATGCACTTATAATCACACTAAGGTATGTGGGCCCACAGTATTCATATGTGTAAAATATCAGAAAATAATCACATTTTTTTTCTGACTATAAAGGTTGTGCCTCTCATGTAGGTTCTAACTGTTAAGGCCGCTACACACCCACCTGAGACCAAAGAAGGCGTACCGAAGGCGTCCCGATTTTTACGTCAGCTACGTCGCCTGCGTCGGCTACGCCGCCCGCCTACGCCGCCCGCCTACGAACACACCGCAAATACTTCAGTCGACGAGTGGCAATAACTGTCCTTACCAGCAGGCAGCGGTAGTGTGAACAACCAATCAGAGTGATTGCTTGGGCCGACTTTCTCTGACCTCGCGCGGGAGGTGTGAAAATGGCTATCTGGCTGTGTGTGGTTTGTGAGGGCTGCGTATAAACAGTGTCCGCTGTTTATGCATAGTGGATGGAAATCGTAATTGCATCCTTTAGATTTGAAACCGATAGACATATAGAAGAACGATAGTTAGTACCGGAGTACCGCCAGAGGCGGCGCTTTAAGCACTGGATATGTCCATCGCGCGCACGCGCAGGTCGAGTACCAATACCAACAAAGTCACCTGTGACCCCATGTGACACAGAGCTATATCTGCCGGTGTCGTCAGAGGATCTGTTCCCAGAATCTTCTTGTGAGAACACAAGGATTCTGAGTGACAGGATACTCTGGCGGTCATCTGGGATTCATAGAACCGTAGTTACAGTCGTAACTATCGTTCTATTTCATCCCTACTGACCACCAGAGGCAGTGTTTTAAGCACTGGATGACTTATACCAACAATGTCATGAATAATCCAAGCACTTACTAACTGGAAGCAGCGGAGCTCGGCAATAGGACCACGCCCCAAAGGATGGGGAGTGGCGACATTAATCCGATAAAACCTGGAGAATGTGCCAGACGGCGCCGCGGCGCAGAATGTCTCCAGGGGCACGGTCACCCCTCTCAGGGCAGCCCAAGATGTTGAGATGCTCCTTGTAGAGTGGCATCTCACCCCTGATGGCAGGGGGCGGCCACTGGCCCCATAGGCATGTGAGATGGTATTGACAACTCAGTGGGACAGCCGCTGTTTAGAGAGAGCACAACCTTTTTTAGTGCTGCCATGGCAAACGAAGAGCTGCTCCGACTGCCGTATACAGGCAGTAGCATCAATATACGCCCTTAGGGGACGCACAGGGCACAGCAACTCAGACGTGCCGCTCTACTGTAGAATGTCAAAGCGTGCCAGCTGGATAGGCTGATTGAAGTGGGTTTGTGGAAGCACCTTGGGCAGGAACGCCACATTTGGCCAGAGGGCAACACCTAAGCCATCGGAGTTCCACCTCAGGCATGTATCGCTCACAGAGAGGGCATGTAACTCCCCAACTCGCTTCCCTGAGGTTATGGCAAGCAGAAATGCTGCCTTCATGGACAGCCACTTAAGCCCCACCTGGGCCAGGGGCTCGAAGGGAGGAGATGATAGGGCATCCAGCACCAGGGGCAGGTCCCAAGCCGGGGCCCTCGGGGTGCTAGGGGGACGCTGCCATAAAGCCCCTCTCAGGAAGAGGGACACCAACCTGTGGCACCCCACCGTGGCGCCGTCGACTCCAACATGTCGGGAAGAAATAGCAGCCACATAAACCCTCAAAGTGGAATGAGAACGTCCACTATCTAGAAGGGACTGCAGAAACTCCAAAATGGTGGCCACAGAGCAATGCCCCGGATTCTCGGCCTTACCTACACACCAGCGGGAGAACAGCTTCCATTTGCACTCGTACTGCGAGTGGCTGGTGCTCTGGCATTCAGGATAGTTTCCCTGACAGATGCCGTAAAATCACTCAACAGTGGGTTGGGCCCCGCAGAGGCCAAGCCCAGAGCTGAAGACGATGAGGGTCGGGATGCCAGACCTGACCCCTGAGCTGTGACAGAAGGTTCTTCCTGTCGGGGAGACGCCATGGTGGGCTGCAACAGAGGCTGCGCAGCAGTGGGAACCAAACCCTCCCCGGCCAGAGAGGGGCAACCAGAAGGAGCCTGTGCCCCCGTGTAAGGACCCTCTGAAGCGTCTGCAAAATCAGAGGCAGCGGCGGGAAGGCATATAGGAGACTGTCTGGCCAATCGTGCGCCAGAGCATCCTGCCCCATCGGGCTCCATCGCAGCACCTTCAGGAATCTGTTGATTCCTCTGAGGTCCAAGATCGGACGAAATCCGCCGACTTTCTTGCTCACGAGAAAGTACACTGAGTAGAACCCCCCGGGCTGAAGCAGATGGTCTACTGGCTCGATTGCAGGACAGACAACTCTTGGGCCAGAGCTAAGGCCTTCGCCAGATTGCTGACAACTGTCAGAATCAGGGAGGCGATGGCAGGCTCAATGGATGGCATGCGACCCAGCCCCACCTTCGCCGGATCCTGCATGGCACGCAGCCAGCTGTATGCAGAGAATCCCTTAGTTCAAGCCGAACGCTGTAGGCTACAACATGTAGCCACGGTACTCGCGCAGCGAGAAGATAAAAGGAACAGATCCTCTGACGACACCGGCAGATATAGCCCGGTGTCACGTGGGGTCACAGGTGACTTTGTTGGTATTGGTACTCGACCTGCGCATGTGCGCGATGGACATATCCAGTGCTTAAAGCACCGCCTCTGGCGGTCAGAAGGGATGAAATAGAACGGACCGACTGTCACTGCCCGTCCCTGAAACCCCTGTTAGTGTTTGTATGTGTTTGTTTCTACTGTCTGCCTGCTGGTCTGCTCTACACGGCTGGGAGCAATCTCCAATCAACCACACCTGCAACCTGCTCATCGGCGACACTATTAAAGCCTGCAGCCTGCACTCATTCCCTGCCGGATTGTTGCCGTGAACGGTTTGTTGCGTGCCGCTCTAGCTTTTTGCCAGCAGATTAGCTGACAACTTTGCCTGCTTTTGCCTCACACTCATTTTTGTGTCTCTCCCAGGAGGAATCCAAGGCCTGCCACACTCCCAAGACCAGCCATGCCTCTCCACCCTGGAACCACTGTTTCTCACTGCCGCCATAACCAACCTCCACTCCTAGCTCCCCTTTTCTAATAAACAAATGTTACGCTGATTATGGTTCCCCCCAGTACATGTGACACCGACAGTGACTTGTAATAGCTGCACGTTATCCTGGCAACATAAAAAAATCTAACTTGCAGCTGAAAACGTTTTAAGAATAGTAGGGCATAATGTTCTAACAATGTTATCAAAAACATTTAAAAAAGGTTATTACCAAGCATTTTAAGAATGTTTTTAGAGAACGTTATCCTAGCTTTCAGAAGAACATTCTGGGAACCAAAATAAAACTTCCGACTGAAAACGTTTTAAGAATAGTAGGGCATAATGTTTGAACAATGTTATCAAAAACATTTGAAGAAGGTCATCACCAAACATTTTAAGAATGTTTTTAGAGAACGTTATCCTACCTTTCAGAAGAACATTCTGGGAACCAAACTAAAACTTCCCGCTGAAAACATTCCTAGAACAATAAATGGTAACATTCTCAGAATGTTTTTAGAACCAAAAATGTCTAGCTGGGGTGTGTCTTCAGCTTCAATTTCAGTCGTTGTATTCACTCAATTATCATGCGTGGTTCCATTAATTTCATAGATGACATTACCACGAATCGGAATTCTGAAAATGTCTGAAACCACATATGTTCTAGGCTGGGTATACAAGCTTCAGTATCTCTCGGAGTACTGAACAATAAGTATTTTAGTCAGATGTAGTGTTATGCTGTACAGTAGGTGCACTGTAGCCAACGTTGACTTGAGGGGTGTTGATTAAGACTTGTGTTGACTCATGCCTTTTATAACATCAGTAGCTTAATCAAGCAGCTGTGTTCGTTGTGTACACTAGGTGTGTGTAATTGGTATAATCTTCCACATGGCAATACAAACAAGTTATTATGATAATTTCATTTTCCAGCTTCTTTCCCAATGATTATTATTAAAAGTCATGAATTTATTAATTTTTGTTACCCTGTAAAGTATGCCGCCAAGAATATTAACATGCCCAGACACTTATTGGTCAAATTCACTTTGCATTCAAGACTCTTTTACAAGGAAGATGAAAATTACATTACCCATGAAGAAAAATGTGCAGTGGCTTTGGTTATATTTACATTGTAATTTTGTAAAGGAGTGCAGAGGAGCTATTTCATATATTAAAAGCATCATGTTCAAATAAGGGATCTTAACCCTCCTGTTGTGTTCGTTTCCCCCCCCCTTACTTTGGTGTTTGCGGTCAAATTTGACCGGTCCTGTTTTGACTGCTATTACATTAACGCAAACACCATTAATCATCCCCAAATTTCATTTAACACCCTTTCAAACTATAAATATTGTATCAGACTACTGGTATACATGAAAAACTGCAGTAAATATACAAAGAATAGACACTGAACATGTATTGCGTGTGCCATGTGTGATCCATGTGGGGGGATAGGCACATAAGAGCGGGAAATGTATCAAATTGTTCTGTGTGTATGTGTGTGTGTTTGTTTGTGTGTGCCAGCTGTGATTCACATGGGGGGATGGGCACATAAGGGGGGGAAACGCGTGTGTGTGTGTGTGTGTGTGTGTGTGTGTGTGTGTGTGTGTGTGGGTGTGTGTGTGTGTGTGTTTGTGTGTGTGTGCGTGTGTTTGTGTGTGTTTGTGTGTGTGTTTTATCTGGGACCGGGAACACCATGGGTGTTACAAAGTTGACTAAATCATCCAAAATTCAATAAAAGTGGTGATCAGCTATTTTATATGTTCAAATGTCTACTGTGAAGGATATCATAAAGCCTTAATGCAATCAAATGTAAAACAAAAAAGTTATGATTGATGAAAGTAGTAAATCGGTCAGATTTGACCCGAAAAACAACAGGAGGGTTAACACACGTTTAAAAGTCACTATTTAGAATGTCTACAATTGGATACAAAATCCATTCCTTTCCTTTTGGTGTAGCCTATTTCAGATGAGGAATCCAGTTGAAACAGTGTATTGAGTTTCTCTCAGACAGCTGAGAACCACCTCATTAGCATACAAATGCATCTGGGTATTACAGCTATCATTCTAAGGGCTAATCATTTCTGGGACAGAGTTGAAGTGCTCATAGCTATTTGACTATACTAAAGGCCAGCCTGATCACAACCCCACATTCCATCACATGACTGAGTGAGCTGGTACTAAAGCTTAATGTTTAACCAAAGTATGTTGTTTAACCCATTTATTCATTCACTTCAATACAAAATTACACCAGGCAGCTCTAAAACAGAGGGATTGTGTGTTCTTAGCATTACAAAAAAAAAATCTTACTGCTACATGAATAAGCCTGGTTGGTCTTCTACAAACACCCTGAAGAAATCAATATTCCGTCTCAATCAATGAGGACGTTGATCACTGTGGAAGAGTCTTTTAGGCAGACTGCTCACATGAGTTCCTGACAGCTAGACAGAAAACAGAGTTGCCTCAAACTCCAGCCAACAAGCCAAATACCTTCAGTATAATTCCCAGAGTTCCTCCTACGGGAAGGTGTGGGCTGCCATGGACACAGTGAGTTACCTGGGCGTGTCGAGTGCACGCAGACTGGAGTTTCGACACTTCTCTCGCGCTAGCCAGGTTGTTGTCACTCTACTTTTGATGGTGAAGTTTTAACAAGAACACGGAGGACTAACAAAAAGAAAGCGACACAAATGAGGATAATGGGGCATCAGCTGATCCAAGAGCAAACGTAAGTTGCCTTTTTACTTCCTGATTATGTTAGTAGCCTATTATTAAGAAACATTGTAATGGATTTTTTGGATAGATAATGTTAGTTGCACTCAGAAAAAACACCAGGCCTTTTTTTTATTTAGGATAACGTATGGTTTAATTCCCATGCCAATTAAACATCGAAAGCTCAGTCAACTGGACTGAATTTAACATACAATTAACAATAGTTGTTTATTTACCTCCTAAAGTGTTACTAATAATTCCATACAAACGTGACTATTGTGATAGATTTGGAGTAACAGCTGCAATATCATTTCAAAGTATATAATAATGCTTTTCATATGTTTTGCCAACCAAGCACAATGGTCATTTAGTTTATGTACTTTGGAGAAGAAAATGCTTTATCCCTGGCATATTTATTTTGTTGCCATAGAGACTTCTTTAATCTGTCCCTATCCTATTATGTTTCTCTCACTGTAAATGCATCATCATAATTGACAACAATTTGGACAAGTCCCTGCAGCACATTGGCTGCAGAATAATTTCTATAAAGACAGCCACTCAGTAATTAATTTGTTCCTGTACATTTTGTTATAGGCTCTAATCTCGCCTATATGTGTGACTTAGATCATGACTGCACCCCAAACCGACTGAGAGATCCTTGACCAAAGATGCAACCAGGAGGTCCACCCGCTCCACCACCACCACCGCCACCACCGCCACCACCGCCACCACCGCCACCACCGCCACCACCACCACCACCTCCACCTCCTCCACCTCCAGGCTTTGGCCTCCCCCCATCACTACATGGCTTTGGCCTTAATGCCAAGGGAGCACACCGGCGCTCCAGGATGCGCAATTTCAACTGGGAAACCCTCCCCAAACACAGTGTGGAAGGAAAACACAACATCTGGACAGCAGATAAGACTGATGGGGAATATGAGCTGGACACTGAACACATGGAGGAGCTGTTCAGCCGCAAGCAGGACCAGCAACAAGTGAAGGCCCTGAACCGCCAGAGCCTGAGGGGCCTGCCAAATTCTGCCTCAGGAGGGGTAATGGTGAGTTCTCTAAACACAGAAAACAGGGGGTACATTTTGATTAATCAGTTGCCCCCAAGAGTCAACCCCAAGACTGTAAAGCTATAGATTGAAATGTTTGCTATTTTTTGCTCAGTGTAATTCTGAGATATGGAGACAACTTGATTGACCTGGATTTATTTTTTGTTTTCTTTGCATGCAGTTTAGAGCTAAAACATAAGACCAGTACAGCTGCACACTCTCCATTTTATGTTGATGTCCTCTGCTAAGCTTCTTCTCCATGCGACAGGAATTGGAACATACAGTAGTGACATTTTTGACACTTCACTTTTTAAAATCTTCTCCTTTTAAGAGTACAAAAACAAAGTATTTTTAGATTGAATTGCAAAAGAGTATTAAGTAATATAATGTGTTGTGTGTTTTGATGTGGAATCACTCAATACAAGGGTGGAGTTTCACCATTCTTCATATCTGTTTGCTAAAGGAAGGTATAAATGTTTCATCCAACAGCTCTATTCTGTTTAGTAACCTCGTGCTCTGTGTTTGAGCTTCTGGAAATAATATGTATTGCCATTCAGTTAAAGTCTTAAACCAAAACATATTCATTTATAACCTCTATTTATGTTTTAGAACAAACATGGCTGTTTGTCTGACAAAGTAGATTCAAATATGTTACTAAACCTTAACTTTGACCTATGTCCCATTATCCAAGAGAGACACTGAGAATATGTATCACTGATGCAAAATGGTATATTTGCTCTGATTGTGCAATACAATCCACTCAAAGAATCCTTAACCTTTGGAATCAACTATCTGTTGACTAAGGGTATCTGTGATAAAAAAAAGACTCTGCTCAAGCCAATAGTGAAATATCTTAGCGACTGACAAGCTGATTTATCCAGGTTTGTGTCTGTATCCATTCCCAGGTTTCCATCCTCTGCTCCAAGAGAAGCATGAACATTGGAATTTTCCTGAAGCAATTCAAGCGGTGAGTCAGTGTTACTACTCATAAGGTGTGATGGGTTTTTGCACAATAAACTTGTCATGTCCCAATGTTCAACAACACAGGATGAGGCATAGAGAGTCTGCAACATACTCACAAGCCTTACACATTCTGACATGTCCTGGCAAGCCTGATCTAGACTGTTCTACAGCTCCAACAGGTTACCTCCCGGGTAATCCACAGATCAATTACTAGGAGGTATTATGAATGTATTGCCTAAGGTTATTTGGCATACACAACAAATCTAGCAGGAAGTGGAAACAATACCATACAACTTTTAATGATGCTTTTTTATTTTTCTCTGTTACAAATATGTTTCTTGTAAAAGCATATTCCATAATTCCTATGTCCTATGCAGCACATGTTTTTCTGAGGATTGACATCATGAGGTTTGCTATTCCGCAAAGCTATTTGAGCATGTAGGGGCTTGTTGAAGTCAGCTGCAAAACAGCAGCAAAGTGTGGTATAAACTTAGACACATATAATAAGTCCTAACCATAAACAAACAATCATAATTTCTGAGTCTGAACCTTATGTGTCTTTCCATCTTACTCCACAGGACTGTAAAAGACATGATTGAAGAAATTAAATCAGGAAGTAGTCTCACTTTTGGTCCTGGAAAACTGAAGGAGCTCTGCAAGCTGCTGCCAGATGAAGGGGAGGTACTTGTGACAGCTGCTTTTACTTTTGTCATGTTTGTAATGCGTTTTGTTGATTTAACAACTTTGTAGCTGTTAGAAAACAAGCTGGTTTTAAGTTTTGTGCTTGCCTTGTTTTTGCAGAAGAAGCAGCTGGTCGGCTTTAAAGGTGACCCCTCTGCTCTCCCTGACGCAGATCTGCTAATGCTAATGCTAGTCAAGATTCCCAGGTGAGCTACCTGCATGTCATCCCATGTATTGCGTGTTACATTTCAATAGTACTTCACTTATGATGGAAACCTTGTGTCTGTAGCTATGAAGAGCGTCTCAGCAGCTTGGTGCTCAAAGAGGAACTTTTCCCCCTCATAGATGAAATGAAAAACTTCATCAGCACTTTGACAGCAGCTGGAAATGGTATCATTGTCTTCCTGGATCTTTTATAAATAAGGCTGATATCAGATTTTAGACAGAAAGAGTTGTAATCCCATTTAGACATCACTATGTGTGTCTTCTTTTAGAGCTCTTGGAGTCGGAAAACCTCCATTCCGTCATTCGCCTGGTGCTGAAGACTGGAAATTACATGAATGCTGTGAGTGTATAATAAAGTGCAGTCTCTTATGTCTTTTGTTTGTGTTTGTGCATCTATAATTGATTTGTTTGTTCACAGGGTGGCTATGCAGGCAGTGCCATTGGATTCCGAATGGCTTCTTTGTTGAAGTTAGCAGACACTAAAGCAAACAAACCAGGAATGAATCTTATGCATTATGTAGTGATAGTAAGTACCCAAGTACTTTAATTTGTTTGCAATGTAGAGTCAGTTTTACTAATCTGGTGATATTTTTGTTACATTTGAATTTGATCCATGTTTGATCCATGTTTTTGTATTAAACACAGCAAGCCCAGAAGTCAGACGGGGACCTGCTTAATTTTGCAGACCAACTCACACACATTGAAGCTGCATCAAGGTAAACAATCTTACTAACAGACGTTCAGCATTTTCAACCCTTTTTTTTTATTTGCTGTATCATCAGAGTGTATATATATATTTTTTTATCTTAGACTGAATAAAGGTGAAATAGAAGCAGAGTATGAAAAACAGGTAAAAAGAGTGCAAGATGCCAAAGCGGACACCCTGAAGCAAGAAGACCTAAAAGCTCAGATGGGTGATTTTCTAAAGGTGAGGAAGCCTTGTTGAGGAATGTGGCCAGGTTTGTCGAAGTTCAGTGGTGATAACATGTTCTAATGTTTTTATATTTATCATTTAGGGGGCTGAGGTCTGCTTAGCTGAAATGGAGACCGACCTTCAGGAACTACAGTCAGTGAGTGACTCTGTGGCGGACTACTTCTGTGAAAACCCAGAGAAGTTCAAACTGGAGGAGTGTTGCTCCATTTTCCACTCCTTTTGTGAGAAATTCATGCGGGCCATGCAGGTAAGCCTGTGTATTGGCATGTTTTCTTCAGCTGAATTATAAAAACAAATCTGCTTGATTATTAACTTTGTAATTATCTGCAGGAAAATAAGGCTCGAGAGGGGGCAGAGGTGAAGCGGCGACACAGAGAAAGATTGCAGAATGCTGTCAAACGAAGGTCAACAGCTACCTGCTCCACTAGAGACAAAGAAATGGAAGGAATTCAATTGCAATCTGTCCTACAAAACTTTCTCACCAGTCGTGTCTCTCGGAGGAGACTCGGGAGACCCTCATCTGCTTATGGAAGCCCGAAGAGCAGCAGTCCTAACGATGGGAGTCTATCTGAAATTAACCCTCAGGCAAACCTCCCCACTGGCATTCAAAAAAGAATAGGCTCTGTTAAAGCTACGGACATGGGCAGAAAAGAGTGGAGTTCAGCAGTTGAACTCTCAGAGAACCCTCCACAAAAGAAAACTCCAACCAATAGCGAGGACAACAAGGCAAAAGGCGACATTTCTAATGAACAAGAGGTGAACACTTTGAGCAAAGAAGACTCCAGAGGTCTCACACAGCCAGCCAGCAGGACCACCAGCGTTTCCTCCTCAGGCAGACTTTTCTCCACCACCACTGATGACAGTGAGGAAGACCTACAAGATAATAACGAAGAGGAGGCCCAAAGATTGCGGGACGCATCTAAAAAGGTTTTGCGCTTTCAGAAAAGCCGTAGCAGTGTCTCATCCGATTCTTTTGAAAATCTGAAATCTCCTGGTCCAAAAGGCACATTGCCTCGTCAACGCACCTTTGATGAGGACGCAGACAGGCATCCTGGAGACCCCACCAATGAGGATTTAGTTAGACTTTTGCTAAATCCTCAGTCTTTCACAAAATGTGACCTTGGCCGACGCCATACTCTACCTTCTAAAGTTCCTAAAACTGAGGAAGAGGAAGATAAACTGTGTCCCAAGCCTCCAGCAAGATCTCCTTCTTCTGCAAGAGAAAAAGGGACACTGCCAGCAGAAGGGTCTGAACAAAATCCTTCAAATCAAGTGTTTGACTTTCCCAACTTATCTCAGAGCTTTAAGAACTCTGGTTCTAAAGACCAGCATTCTCCGTCAGCAGAAAAGAAAAGCAAGCTAAATGTTTCTGTAACCCATGTTCCAGATGCTGGACATGAGGAGCAAATCAAAGTGGACAAATCAATGGAGCCGTCAGGGAACCCCTTGCAGAGAAATAGTGAAACCCCCACTAACAGTGCATGGACAAAGACTGAAAACTCTGGACTATTTTTTAGCTTTTTAAAACGCCTTGGAGATATAAGCAAACTGCAGACTAGCAAGGAAACTGTCCATAAGGGCAATGATTCTAGTGTATAGGCATTGAGATGTATCAAACGTAAGGTCAGGAAAACACAAGTAGCCTTAGTGTAACTTTAATTACCTCATCATGGTGATTGTGTTATATTTAATGTTAATGTTGTGAATCGATAATGAGGTTTTTAAAGAGACAGAGAGATGTTTCTATGAAAGTGGTTGGATAAGTGGGAGTAGAGGATGTTTTTGTTGAGGAAAGGCAATTGGCATGTTGTACCACTAGATGGCAGAAAGTGACAGTAACATGGGACATTGTTGCTAAGGAAATAAGGGTGTTGTTGATTTCCAGGCAATCTGTACATTGTAACAAAAGAATGATTGGCACACTGTAAACCATTTCCCTATTTTGTATCAATAATATGAACATTAGATTGACAGTAAGGTGTTGTCCTTATCAGTTGGATAAATGGGAGAATATTTAAAGTGTGTGTGTGTGTGTGTGTGTGTGTGTGTGTGTGTGTGTGTGTGTGTGTGTGTGTGTGTGTGTGTGTGTGTGTGTGTGTGTGTGTGTGTGTGTGTGTGTGTGTGTGTGTGTGTGTGTGTGTGTGTGTGTGTGTGGTGTGTGTGTGTGTGTGTGTGTGTGTGTGTGTGCTTTGTCTGGATTACAATCTAAAACCTTGCAGTATGCATTGAGAAAGTTTGTGGACGTTTAGTGAGGGAGCATAAAGAAATGTGACTGTTTGTACAATCTTGGCTTGATTCTTATTTTTGATATTTTGATACATTACTTCTTGTACTGCATGCTTGAATTCAATACTGTTTTTCAGTTTTGCAATCATTCAATTATTTTCTTTTTGCCTTTTTGTTTTCCTTCTCTGTTGCTGTCACATAATCACATCAAAAATGCAGAAGGTTGAGGATGCTTTCAGGGTCATACACAATTTAACCATTGTTTTGAGCTTAAATGGGTCAGTGTTACATAGGCAACCTGTATGTATGCAGCGCTGTACCATGGACTGTCAGTGGCAAAGTGAAGGGTGCTGATCTCAAATTAACTTGAGAACAGATTACTGTGGTTGAAGGGCCAACACCCGGTTGCTTATTATGAAGGAAGGGAATCAGCCTTGCTTCATTTACCGCTGTGCACTGCTTGTGGCAAAGCCAGGCTATGACCCTAATATCTGGAGCAGATAGAGGGGTCGGTGAGGCCACAGCCTGGGCCAATACATCTAGGATTACAAAATGTAAGTTCAACTGTGTCCAGCTGTCTGACTGAAGTGTGCCAATGAAGTAATTACATCTCTTTGAACGTTTTTGTTATAATCTGAACAGCAACTGGAGTGATCGGAATGTGTTCTGTATTTATTTGCAATTCAATACATTTTATTTGACTGATATGGATAGCCATCAAGATTTCCGAGAATCATTGGTGTTGTCACTGAATCGTGACTTGTTACAGTGTTGTTTTGTAATTGTATCTCTAATCATTAAGAGCGTTAAATAAATATGTATGGATACCTGTTTTGGTGTATAAGAGACTCACTCAATTGTAAAGCAATATACTTCCCACACACATTTCACATTTATAGTCACAGCTCTACAATATATTTGATATGTGAATTGATAAGTCTGACAAGTTAATGGGCAGTCACTTTAGGCTCATCTTATGTCTTTCCATTACAACCTCATACGATGGGCTGGATTTGTGTACTCTGCACAGTACAAGAATATAAAGCATTTTCCCACTCAATGTAACACCTTGCCGTGTAGGGCCTGATGAAATATTATGGAGCAACCATCACTTTACATTTTTTTTGATTATTTGTATTCTTACATAATTTGTTTTGATCCACCCACTGACATGCTGTCTATGATTTGATTGTATTATATAATCTATGTATCTGGTTAGTGAAGGAACTGGCAGTTATACATATTTTATTTTTTAAAAGGAGAGCCTATTGAATAAAAACAATAACAATGTATGTAATAATATTCTAATGATGTATCTTATTATAAACAGATGTGTGAATACATATTTAGACACATTAAATGTTGCCGTCTTCAGTATGTTACAAACCATGCTATTAGCTATTTTGACGGTATGAGTGTTGGCAGTGAGGTTTCTACGGTGTGGTTTGTGTGACCTGCTCACTGCTGCTGCTGCCAGACTGCAACAGCCATCTTGACTACATGGAAGCAGTTTCCATGGCAACTCCACATTGCAGAATAAAACCCAGAGATGACTGTGTTTGCCTCTCACACCAAGCCCCACCCTCAACAAACTCCCCACCGCCTGCACCACAACAGCAGTCTCACACAGTGCACCCACATTACAACACATTGCCATCTTTTTTTCAATTATCCACTTCTCTCTATAGTCCTTCTCATTAATAGCCGCGTTCACACCGGAGTACTTTCACCGTACTTTTCGCGTTTTAGTTCCGTGAGTACCCCTTATGTCGCGTTCACACCAAAAATCGTACTTAATCTCGGGTACTTTTACCCCCATTTTTAGAGCCAGCTCAGAGAGCGTACTTTTCTGTGGGTGAAAAGTGCTCCAAAAGTGCCCCAGTGCTGATTGGCTGGGCGAATTGCAAACCACGCCCGTACAACTCTGAAAATGTTGTGTGGAGACGCCATTGTTTTTCCTCGCTACAAAAACACAACGCTCCGTGCGTTGTGTTTGTTTTTGAAAGCAGTTATGGCAAGCATCAAGAAATGATGAGGAGGTGTCGGCGCTTCTGGAGATCTACGCCGAGGACGCGACCCAGGGAATGCTACTGAAGCCAGTTCGGTAGCTTTCACTCGACCTGGGAATTGTGCACAGCCGGCTAAATATAAAGAAACTCAGGCAGGACTACAAACGGCGGATTCAGTGGCCAACGATGACTACCACGATGAAGGTAAAATCAACTACATGCACTGGGGTTTTAATCTGCACAATAATGGTCTCAGATGTACTTTTATTTGCTCAGTAGATCAAGCTAGCCATGCTAGCCATAATAGGCTAACACCGGCCCCGGCTAGCTACATCTAGCTAGCTAGATATTCTCGGCCGCTCTGAAAACGTTTTGACTTGTGAATAACTGTGCAGTGTTTCTGTAATTTGCTTCACTAACTCATGGCACTAATCGTCTGTTTCAGGCGAGGATGGACAACTCTCGGGATTGGAAACAAGTGAGCTTTGCATTCTAGATCACAGCGCTTTGTCGTCCTCCTTACCAGCAACCAAACGCAAAGGTACACGCACTGTAACTTTGACTTGAAAGAACGTTACGCATCGAACTGATGTTCACAATCATGTTTATTTCATAATATTCATCATATTTTATGTTTAACTTGCCTCAACAACATTAAACAAAGTTCAAGCATACATGAAGCACTCTTCAAAAAGGAACAATCCTCCGTGTTTGAACCTCTTGAATCGCTGCATAGCCGATTTATTTGGACTGGATTATCCCAGAGAGGCCAAACATTCTTTATAACACAGTTTCAGATTTGTGAAACCTTAATTCTATTTGTGAAAATACAAAAAAGGGAGATTTCAGTGCTTTTTTTACATGTAGACCACATTAGACCAGGTCCTGATCTAAAACCACTATACCTAGACTCATCAAATCTGGACTGGATTATCCCAGAGAGTCAAAAGATTCTTTAGAACAGTTTCAGATTTGTGAAACCTTAATTCTATTTGTGAAAATACAAAAAATACATTCCTAGTATGTTGTAAAACTACATGGCGACTAAACAGATCTTGTATCTTGCTTATTTTCCCCTCTTAGGAAAGCGGACACGGGATGCGAATTTCTTTGACACCGCCCAGGCGTTGGAGGACCGGCGTGCCGTGGTGAATGAGTCGCTGCGTGGAGATCAGATGGTGCTGTTCACCAAGGCCCAGGAAACGGAGGACAAGATGCTCACCTCGATGGAGCGCCAGGCAGAAGTGTTCAAGCAGCAGATGGAGTGCCAGCAGCACCAGGATGAAGTGTGGGCGCTGCGCCATGAGGAAGCGTCGGCGCAGCGGCAGGATGAGCGACAAACTGCATTTAATAACAGTTTATTTGGTATAGTTTTTGTAAATACTGACACACGACACACAACGTTGCACTAAGGTGTGTATGCTGCTGAGACTATCCCTACACCTGGGACAGTTTATTTTATATTGTTATTACTGTTATGACTTTATTTTATATATAATGTTTACTGACATGTACAACTGACACTTTATTTACATTTAAAATTGTTCTATTTAATGTTATGTCTTGAGAGTGCAATAAAGAAAACCGACATGGCGATTAAGCTTATTTCTCCTGACACTTTATCTTTTGTGACCTGTGTAGCATCCTATACATCACATGTAAGTGATTATTCTGATACCATCATGTTTCATCGGTTATAAACTGGCAAAGCTTTATTTGTCATTTATTTATCATCAATGTTGCAACCTTGTGGGGGAATGGCAGGGGCACATACACAAATATGACAATTTATATAATTTTAAATATTATTTGACCTAAACTTTTAATTCCCCCCCATTTCACACAACACAACATGGAGTCCACTATGGGCCAAAACTAACATGTATGTTTGCATAGTGTTTATGGCAGACGGATGCAGTGGGTCTCAGGAAGATATATAATAAAGGTGGGTTTGCTGCTGAGACTATCCCTACAGCTGGGAGTTTATTTTATATTGTTATTACTGTTATTATATAGTACAACTGACACTTTATTTTATATTGACAATGTTTACTGACATGTACAACTGACACTTTAGTTACATTTAAAATATTTCTATTTAATGTTATGTCTTGAGAGTGCAATAAAGAAAACCGACATGGCGATTAAACAGATCCTGTATCAGTTTTTCTTCTTCTTCTCTTGTTTTGTAGCGGGTTGCAAACAACTTTAAGGTGCTTACCGCCACCTACTGTACTTGTAATCTTCCCTCAGGGAAAAGTACTCCGGTGTGAACGCGATCTGTACTAAGTACCCTGGGGTTAAAAGCGCCAGGGCTCTTAGTGCCGGAACTAAGTACAGGAAAGTACTTGGTGTGAACGCGGCTAATGTTCACTTAGAGCATCTATTGACCCCTCCCCCACTGCCCTACAAATAAACCTTTAGAGTGAAACATCCATTGCTTTGTTCTCTAAAAAACACTTTAGGTGAAAATCTCAATTTCTCCTGAGTACACCCAGTCCATATTATCACATGTGTCTATGGACTCATCAGGGGCCCTGATCCCCCCCCCCCCCCCCCCCCCCCCCCCCACACCACCACCTCCTGATACCACCAGAATAACTGTCATCCACAGCAGAACAAACAGGACTCCCACTGCCTTGAATTTAGCAATTTACCTATTATGGGTAAAACAATACAAGAAACTAGGGCCTCCTAAGGCAAGATCCTAGAAATTATAAGATAAATACTGTAAAACTGTTAATGACCAAAAGCCAGTTTCAGGATTGTTGCCTGATTATTTAATTGAACATTATATTCCTTGTGTCTTTGTAATCTAACACCTCTTTGCACCCTATGAATGTATAGCTTAATGGAAATAAACCGCATCCTTTGTCCTTTTATGGGAACTGGGCGGTACCTAAAGAGGCCACACCCCTTTGCACCAGACAGACTGAATCCCTCAGTCAGTTCCCGAGATTTTGTTTTCATTTTTGCATATTCCCTACCCCCTCCGTATGCTATTGGGTTCTTGGACTCCTCCCATCAGCCATCCGACCAATGCTGCATGTCAGCCCCTCCCCTGATCTCCTCCTTTCCCTTATCCTCTTCCTTACTGTCCCCTTCTTCTCCCAGACAGACCCTGCCCTTTCCTTTCTGTCGCCCGGTCTGTGGATTTTGTTGTAGGTTCTGGGACTGCTGACAATGGGAAGCCTTCTCCACGGCCTGCAATGCTGACACCCCTCTCCCTCCTGCTGCGTATTATTGTGAGTACAATCTAGCTTATTTTTATCATGTCGCATTTATGCTTTCTCATCTTGTTTGTGCCGTGAGTCCTAAATAATACAAAGACTGGGATGAGATCAGATAAATAATTGATTACTGCATCTCATCCTGCTTCACATATCAAATGTTGTGATAGGATATTTGCTACACCCATCTGTCCTCCAAAAGGAAAATCATTGTGTTTCAGCCTCGTTTTGAGCAACTGTTGCACTCTGCTGTGATTCTTTATGCTTCCTCCACCAGCCCACACACACTTCTCCATTTTAGCTCCCAGGCAGCCCGGTTAGGAGCAGGTGGGCATCTGTGCTGCAGTCTGGGCTGGGCTCTCACACATACATGCTCTTTTGTTTGGAGGATTAGTGAGCTGTCGTTGGTTTTCTGATCTGAATATATATGGGCTGTGTCGCTTGAGCAGCTAATGTGAGCCACATGTGTCAGCGTATTGTTTGCTTATGTCATTCTGTGAGTCCTTGTACTGCAGCAACAGCCGATGCATCAATTTCACAGCTCTGGCCAGGACTGATCAGATGCTCCAGTGGTTTCTTATTGATTGGTCTTTTGTTCTGGGATATCTTTGTGTGTAAATCGATCTCCAAAAGTCGCATGCCAGATGAGTGCAGCTGCTGAATGTTGGTTTCCTGCACTGGGTCACAGGGAGGCTGCACACGGCCTTGGATGCTGTGCCTCAGGGAAGATGCTTAGCAGGGTTACTTCAGGGTTTCACACAGTTTGTATAAATAGGCTTGGAGTCTTGGAGATTATGTACAGATTTGTTTAGGTAAACAGGTCTTGCAGCATGTGTTACACACAAAGGTGCTATGTTGAACGCAGCAGAATACTTTGAATTGTTTAATTACATCTTCCTACAACACTATTGTGCCATTGTAGGTGGCAAGGAAGATAGTTTAAATCTTGGCTAAGATGGAACTATATGCAGCTTTGTACATAGGCATGTGGTTGTAATGAAGATGTTGCTGAACCCTACTTGTTCTCAACAAAAGTTTGGAGTGTACCCAGGCAAAAGAGAAGGCAGCTTGATAAAGTTAATCTCCAGTTAAATAAACGTATTGCCTGAACTGGGTTTTTTTTCTTCCCCTGTGCGCTGAGGGGTTTTCTAAAATAATTTATTAGGGTTATCCTTTACATTTCTGTCTGTTTATTAAAATAAAGATGGGTAAAGGTCAGACCATTGCTGTTCACAATAAAAGCATCCTATAGTAGCCTACATTTGGTAATTTTTATATCTTTTTTTTTTTTGTATTACTTCCTGGTCCATTTTCAGACTAGGAACTACATATTTATATTGACTGCAACCGATTGTATTCTGCTCATTATACTGTATGTATTGTAGGTCTCACTAAAGATTGATCAAAGCCAATTGTTAGACTGTAATTGTCCTTCCCTTTTAAGATGGATTTTCCAGAACCACATTTTTAGACTTGGCTATTTCACAAGTCAGCACTTTGACTGGTTGGGGGCATATTTTTAAGGTAATGTACGTGAGGCCTCACAAGTATGACATAACCTCATAAAAAATGTTATCGCATCAAAGATGATATAACATGCATAATGAATATTAGATGGGAGTACATTTACAGTCCAAGCCATCCATCAGTCGATTTTAGGGTTAAAGCTTCACCATCATTGCACAAGGATGTACAGGGTTGATACTTGTTTTATTTGTATATTGTTGCTATTGTACTTAATACCATCCTTATTTTGAATGAACAATGTAGACAAAACATCTTAAAACCCACATGATGCAGTGCTTCCGGCCAAGACCAAATAAAACATTTTTTTTAAAGGTGTAACCTGTCAAACATGTGACAACCCTTTATTAATGATAGCTTGACTACTGAGTTATATGAAGTAAACAAAACACAACACAAATCTCTGCTGTTGCTCAGACCATTCAGCACTGTTGCAGTACGTTTATTACAAAAAAACATTTGTGTTGCTCAACCAGTTCATCATTCATAATGAACATCCATTTGTCATTGGCAATTATTTTTAGAACACAATGACTACTGGGAATCACATCATAGAGCAAACCAATGGCAGTGTATTCAGACAGGATAACATGTTAAATACTGTACATCCTGTTTCTACCTTGCTAGTCATTACTGCAGGTGGATAAGGGTTGGATGCAGGGGCTTGTGCACTGATGGACCTTTTATAAACACCTGCAATGCAAGTTGTGCCTACAGACTCCCTGCCTGCATGCTGCAATGCCTTCTGCAACTCTTTGTCTCCTGACTCCCTTTTTGTGTCATTGTTGATTAAAAGCGCTGCTAAATAATGTGCTTGACATGATGTGGTCACTTTCTCTCATTAGGTGTCAGATCACATCAATCTAATTTCTGCAGACAAAGGTATATAATAGACCTCTTCAATGCTAGTCTTTTGAAGTAAAGTAACCAATTGCACAATTGGCATAGTTTCGTTATTATTTACTTGTTGTAATGCACACACTTAGTCAGCAATGTTTGGCCAGACATTTGTCATATTTTAAGATATATCCCTATGCACCCAGACTGAGTCATAAAATACAAATACAAACACTGGGCCCAGTTGTGGATTAGATGAGCTCCATCAATAGAAAATTAACATGAAATAGCAGTTGCCCAAGTAGTAGTTTCCTTTCATCATGTGATCCCAACATCCACTCTGACAGAGACTGATGCATTGAGACAGATGAAGTGTAAGGGGGGCTTGTTAGTTTTGAGTAGCAGGTTTTTTGTGTTGAATAATGATTGATGAGTCATCATAGAGCCAGGCACCTTCACTGGCCCCAAAACAGCCCCTTAACACCCAAAACACAGAAAGGTAATTTCAGAAATGGTATTCTACAGATATTCTGTTCTCAGATGTGTCTCAGCCTTGTTGCTCTAAAAGGCAAAAGGGTTATTTGGATACAAATGGGAAAATGAGTCGCGCTTGACTGAATTTGATGTTATCATGATTCATTTTCATTTGTTTATTACTTTGCTGCCTATGGGAAACATAAAAAGAAGCCACATTTGTAATGCTTTTTAGAGATGCAGTTAATGAATAGTAAATATTTCCCTCTTCTTCTCTCAGTGAAAACTATTTCTTCGTTAGTATCTACATAGTTTTAAAAAATGTCACCAAATCAATTCTAATCAGTAATCAGGAGTTTATTCAAAATGAGATCTCTGCTCTTTCTGCTCAGGCCGTGTATAGGCAGGAACAATTACTGCATGATGACACATGCGCAGCGACACAACATATGTGGATGGAAACATAAACTTAAGTCTATATTTAAACCAAATCTTGACAGCACATCGTCCAGGGCCCTGTTTACCGGGACAGCACACAGCTGACTGCTGAAAGAAATGGTTGGAAAAGTCTTTAGTCTGAAGCTCTCTCTGCTGTGACACATAGCACATATCACAGAATTACTAAAACGATTTATAAACAATGGTGCAGATAATCTAACACTGGTTCATACAAAATTGTAAACTGAAATATGAACTTAAACACTGAATGCAGTCTGAAGAAAAGGTGCTCACGTCTTACTCAAACATGGGAAAAGGAAGGGAAGGGGAAAACACTTTTTATAGCACTTGAAGTGCAAACATCCTGAGTAGTCACAGTTTCGTTCCTCAGGTTTCAGTGGGATCCTATTGCAATTATATGACTGTAGTAGACATGCAATGGACAGGGTGAAAACAGTTATTGGAAAGATATCAGATTATTTTGTTTAACTTTGCATGCATTTGCTGTATTCTGATATGTAGAGATACCAGACAATCAAACTCAGTACACTATTTAGTTCTATTAGCCACCTCTTCAAGATCTATGCCAATGAGATATCTATCACCACCCCAGTACAATTTAGTGAATGGAATTTTGATTTGTAGTGGTCAAAGCACGGAACAAAATCAATATGGCATCTTATTTATCGAACCATGTCCAAGTAAAAAAAAGAATACAACGTTGTTTGTTCCAAACCGTTTCCACCTTGAACTATTCTCTACCAAAATGTTTGAAAACAAATAGTGAATATTATCCTGTGGATTATTTATTTCCATGAACTGTCCTCTAAATGAAAATACATGATCAATTATTCATAGATTATTTTCTGCATCACACTGTGGGAGTGACCTCATTTGACAAAGGGTACATATGTTCTACAGATTCTTATATAATAGGTCTCATAAATAATTAAAAGAAAAAACTATTGGTGAAATAATTATTACATCATTGTCTGACTATTTGGGTTGAGGTTGGGAATTACTCATTCCGTCCAATAGTCACAAGGCAAAAAAATGTCTCTTTATTTTAATTTGAATAATTAGCAGAGAAATTGGCATCTCTAAGTTCATTACACACAACTACAAAGTTAAGCAGCATTTTATGGGATAGATAAAGAGCAAGGCATGGCAACCGTCCCTCAAGCTGACTATGCTAAGAGAAATGTTTTCTCTGATTGTAAGCTCATGCCGCCCGAAATCCAATTAAACCGTTCATACTAGATGTGCCTGCCTTCAGGTGAAAGCCGTTTAGCACAATCACTTCACCTGGTGGAATCACTTCTTATAGTCTGGTCCATAGACACGCATTGCCAGTCCCTGCTTCACTGGTGGTATAGCAGCAGTGGGTAGTGTATTAGTTTGTGTAAGGTGTTTGTTTAAAGCCTTCAGATTTTAATTGACTTGCCCAGAGTCTGTGAGACACAGTAATCCAGATGGCAGACGGGGCCTGACCCTACAGGAGGACATTAAGCCTATTACCTGTAATGCAGGGTGAGAGTGGCAAGCTTTGCAGTCAAACAGCTGATTGTAAGAACAACATTGATATTTGGTGGATGTTTTCACAGGCGTCATGTTCCAGTGTGACGGATACAGTACAGAGGAAAAACACAGTTGGAAGACTGACCTCATCTGTATGAAGTGCTGATCATGCAGTTCCTGTGACAGAGCTTTGAAGAGGATGCAGTCACATGATTGCTTTAAACATTCCAGTATACTGCAGATTTAGGTCTCTGGTCTACTGGCAGTGTTACTGTATGTCTCACATTTTTATCAGAGCTATTTTTAATCTAGCTGTCTACTGCCGTTTTATATTTAACAGTTTAAGGAAGATTTGACTGTACTATACATAACTAGGATATGCTAGGCTTCACTATTTTATAGAACATATGTATGACATGTTTAGGCTTAAGTTCTATATCCAAACAATCTGCAATCAGAAATTATTTGAAGTATGTTTTTTTTGTCTTTTTCTGTTTATAATTCAATACATTTTTGCTCCTATGATCCAGCTCTCCTTTAAGCACAAGCTAGACCCTGAGCTACTGTAAGGGAGAGACTGTTTTAAAGAAAGGTCCTTTTTCAGCCAAGAGGGGCTGCTGGAAGGCAGGGAGGAAGCGAGAGGGAGGGCGGGGGGCTGTTGCAATGCTAAAGGCTAAAGGCTAGCCAGCCGAAAAGGGAGGAGCCTGAGGGCTTTGGTTCCTCAAGCTTCCTCCTGATGTCACCGTTCAGCTGCTGCAATTCAGAGTCCATGTGCAGGAAAGGCAGTGCAGGGAGGGGAGGGCTCTTAAAGGGGAGACAAGAGGAGGGGGAGGCAGAGCGGGTCGGGGATGGGCTGGCTGTTTGGACACTGAAAGGGCTCGACGGAGCTCCTTAGTCTATAGGCCATGTCGTCACTTGGCAAGAGCAACAATGCCTTAAACAATCCCCAGCTGCAAGACGTCTGTGGCTGAAATCAGGCCCTCTGATGCTATGAGTGCATTTATGTGGTTCGGAGAGAAGAGAAAATGAGAGGACAATAGAGAGAGGGAACATAGATGAAGGGAGGGGAAGAGAGGTGAGCTGTGAGCAGATCTGGAATGCCATTGTTAGAGCTCGCCGCTCTGAGTTGCAGCGAGGGACAGCTGCCTCTGAGGCTCGCTCATGTGAGGCAGGCAGCCCAGTTCACTGTGGATTTTAGCCCCTTCTCCGACAGGTGGGGCCTGAACCTAGCGAGCTAAGAGTCAAGGGAAGGAACTAGTAGGAATTTGGGGAGTGGCGTTTCAAAGCTTCCTCTTCTTGCTCTCAAAGAAAAGGGCCCTAGCTATTTTTGTCAGAGGTGTCAAAAGGCAGAGTGGGAAGCTTTAGCTCTTGGTGCTAGCTGATGTGCAGGCCTGACAGTTAGCCTGATCCCAGGTCAGATTTAGAGAGAAGCTACTGTATGTAGATAAAACCTAAAAGAGAAATTACAAACCCTGGAAAAATGAATGAATGAAAGATGAGGTGAGGTTTTACAGTACATAGAGCTGAGTTTATATTGCCTTGTGAAAAGGCTTGTGTGTCATTTCTTAGCAATGATGACTTATGGATCATGGCTACTAACTGGAATATTCACGCCAAATCAATAGTGAGTCTTTCTCAGCTGAGTGGATATGTTTTTATCATGCATCTTTTAGATGTTTGGTGTCCTTTTGGTGTTTTGGATGGCATTACATAGGGTGTCCTTATTCTTGTGAACGCATGTTTGTTTGCTTGAATCCTTTATGAGATACATAAAACAAAAAATAAATAATCTATATAATTAATATAGCTCAAGTTGTTGATTGGATTCCAGTCTTGCTGACATTGATTATTTATTATTGATTAGTGCTACAAAGTCATGCATATAATCTATTTGTGGTCAATATTAAGCTTTCTGAATGTTAACCCCATTCCCTTTTTTAATACCTCCTATTTGTTTAGATTCTTTGTTTATAAAGTAGTGTATTAAAGATTTTACTTTCGAAATAAGTCTGATTTGACACAGAGGATATCTTACAGCAGCATTTTCGCTTTTGGTTTCAAAACAATGACTTGCTTTTGCCTCAGTTTTTACAGTAATTCAGCATAGCAGACTTCCTTACATTTCTATTTAGGTACCCCTCTTTTAAAACCCATCCATTTGTAATTTAATCTAGTAGTAGAAGTAGATTGCATTCTCAAGGTTGTTGGAGGATGTTGCATGGCAGACATGACAACAAGAGCGGCATCCGAAAGTAAGTGAAATTGACAAAGAGCGAGTGGATATTGACAAAGAGCGAGTGGATATTGACAAAGAGCATGTGGATACTGATACGCTCTCTCTACAATGTTGTGTCTCAGTTTCCTCTGAGGGGAAAACATTGTAACAGCGAGCTTAATATATACCAATTTTGTAAAGAGAAATTGATCGAAAGTATTTGTACTGTTACAATAACCACAATTTAAAATCTTTACCAGACCAATGCATGACATATTGTGGATTACATTAGATTAATTCAGGATGATGTTGTTAAGAAGACGTATCAATCACATGACTGTTTTTGGTGTTAATGTAATCCTTTATGTGTTTATGTACAATATGACGGATGTACAACATGTCATTGGCACACTGAGATAATCTGAGCTTGACCCAGTGATACAATTTCATGTAACAGCAACAACCATCTGAGAGCGAGCAGGCATACACTCGTAACCCAGAATTTAACAAATGTTAAAAACAATAAAACAGAAGTCACAGTGTATGGTAAAATAATGGCAGGAATTATACTAGATACATTTCAGCCTTCATCATATTTATAAATACACATATACTACACTTTTAAGACCACTGCAAACGCAGACATGTTGGCTCCTAGACTGCATAGTTGTTCTGCCCCGTGGTGTTGCATCACATACATTTTTTCCTCCACTGCATTAGCTTGTAAGGGTTTGCATTTATAGAGTCAAAAAACCTCTGGCTATGCAGGTGTTTGTGAAAAAAGAAGCTCATCCTACTGACACAGTTTAATAAGTGAGGGAAAGCATAAAATCCTAGCAGATACAGTGCAGGATTTAGATGAGTTTTTTTATTTTTATTAACAGCATTATGACTCATCCCTTCCTTTGCTCCCGCTGAGGGTAAGCAAACACGCCCTCCTCACCCCGTTTGAGCATTTCCTTAAGGCTTTCTTGACCTTTCTCCTGTTTTTCTCTCCCTGTGTGTGCAGGTTAAGTGGTCCCTGATCACCCTTTGAATGTCTGTAACCATGGCCAAGCGTGAGACCGGCAGCACCAGCCCTGTGGTCCGGCAGATAGACAAGCAGTTCCTGGTCTGCAGCATCTGTTTGGACCATTATCACAACCCAAAGGTCCTGCCCTGCCTGCACACCTTCTGTGAGAAGTAAGCTTTAAACCAGTCAATCAAACTTTATTGGTACAACAAATGTCATACAAAACAGCTCAAAGCGCTTTACAGGTGACTGACAAACTAATACTGTAATATGAATATGACATTAGAAAGATACACAGTAAAACAATTGGTAACTAATAAAAAGCTACATTTAAATCTGAGACAGATTTAAACTTTTTTAGGACAAGATGAACTACGAAGGATTTTTTCAATGTGCGAAATTCAGAAAATGATTACATTAAAACGAGTGCATCATATTATTTTTGGTATTATTTTTGCCTGCAGTAAGTTGTATAGACATTGTATGTATAATGGATAACATGTATAATGGCCCAAAATCACACCACTTATGCCAGCTTTTCTCTCATTATGGCTTCTGCTTGATGTAAGACACTAACCACTCTGAGCTGGCAGACAGTATTTTTGGCAAGAAGCAGTTATTTCCACACATGGGACCGATAGTACAGTTATTAAAATCTTCATCTTCCTCTGCGTAGATGTCTACAGAACTACATCCCTCCCCAGTCTTTGACGCTGTCCTGTCCAGTGTGCAGACAGACCTCTATCTTGCCAGAGAAGGGTGTGGCAGCCCTGCAGAACAACTTCTTCATCACAAACCTAATGGAAGTGTTACAACGAGACCCAGAGTGCAGCCGACCTGAGGCCTGTAATGTCCTTGAGTCGGCCAGTGCAGCTACAGCCTGTCAGCCCCTCTCCTGCCCCAACCACGAGGGCAAGGTAAGCCAAAGCAAAAGGGCCAACGTTATTCAATAATCAGTCAGATCTATTAATATAAAAAATGTCTTATGTAAGCAAATATGTTCATGAAAATATGATGGTTGGTGTTTCATGCTCCACTGCACCATCTGCAGGTGATGGAGTTTTACTGCGAGTCATGTGAAACAGCCATGTGTCTGGAGTGCACAGAAGGGGAACATCGGGAACATGTGACAGTTCCTCTGAGGGATGTGCTGGAACAGCATAAGTCAGCGCTAAAGAATCAGCTGGACGCTGTGCGCAACAGGTACGATTTTCATTCCAATGAATTATGTGATTGCATTTGGTAGATCTCGGTAGTAATGGAAAATGTGAAGCATGCTAAATTGAAATGTTATCTTTTTTTCTGGCAGACTACCTCAGCTGACGGCTGCCATTGACCTTGTAAGTGTGATCTCCAAGCAGCTTACTGAGCGGAAAAATGAGGCAGTGACTGAAATCAGTAACACTTTTGACGAGCTGGAGAAGGCCTTACACCAACGCAAGACTGCCCTCATTACAGAGGTGGAAAACATCTGCAGCACCAAGCAGAAGGTCTGAGGTCTTTCTGATGATTCCTTTTTTTGTAAACATCACATTTTAATACAATCACAACTGACTATCTCCCTGTGTCTCTTTGGACACTTTCAGGTGCTTCAAGCCCAGCTGACCTCTTTGCTTCAGGGCAAAGAGAACATCCAGAGCAGCTGCAACTTCACAGAGCAGGCCCTGAGCCATGGCAGCGCCACGGAGGTCCTGCTGGTCCAGAAGCAGATGGGTGAGCGGGTCAGTGCCCTGGCGAGACACACCTTTCCTGAGCATCCTCACGAGAATGGACATCTGGAGTGCCAGGTAGAGACGGATGGACTGAGGCGCTCCATTCAGAACCTGGGAGTCCTGATCACCACGGGGACTGTAGGCCACACGAGTGTCGCCACCGGGGAAGGCCTGCGACATGCACTGGTCGGCCAGCACACTTCTGTCACAGTCACCACTAAAGACAAGGATGCGGAACTAGTGAAGACTGGTAATGCCGCTCTGAGGGCGGAGATCATCTCTGCAGATGGAGCGTGCACTGAAGCGGAGGTGACGGACAACAAGAACGGCACCTACGAGGTTGGATACACCATCCGCTCAGAGGGAGAGTTCACCTTCTCTTTGCTGCTGTACGAACAGCCTGTGAGGGGGAGTCCGTACCGTCTGCGTGCCGTCAAGCCGTCCGATGTCCTGCAGTCACCGGACGATGTGAAGAGAAGAGTGAAGTCCCCGAGCGGGGGAGGGGGTCATGTTCGACAGAAGGCTGTGCGCAGACCCTCCAGCATGTACAGCACCACCAAGAAGAAGGAAAACCCAATAGAGGATGAGCTGATCTACAGAGTGGGTGGGTGATGAAACTGGCTGGATGTTAATTATGGGTACTGTCGACTTAACTGTGGGATGTTTTCCTCTAGAGCACACCGAGTTATATATCTTGATAATTGGTGTACCTGATGATGTAGTATTTAATTTAAGACCTCTTTTGTAGCAACATAATTGTTCCTTTGTCTTTCACACCAAACAAAAATGAAATATTTCTACGAAGTATTGTTAGCAAATTACAGCAGAATTAAGCCTGGTGTATTTTTGATATGACAGGAACAAGAGGGCGAGATAAAGGAGAATTTACCAACCTACAAGGCATCTCTACCGCCAGCAATGGACGGATTGTGGTGGCAGACAGCAACAACCAGTGTATACAGGTCAGTGTCGAGATAAAAATGGAATTTATCGTTGCATCGATTAACTTAGTCTTGTGTCTTATCTGTCGGAGAGAAATAATAATTTATTATTATCATTATTAAATTGTTCAGGCTTTGGAGTAATAGAAAATTCTCTTTTTCTAGGTATTCTCAAATGATGGCCAGTTCAAGATGAGGTTTGGGGTCAGAGGTCGTTCCCCGGGGCAGCTGCAGCGCCCCACAGGGGTCACAGTGGACGTGAACGGTGACATCATTGTGGCTGATTACGACAACAGATGGATTAGCATCTTCTCCTCAGATGGAAAGTTCAAGGTAAATGGTCTCAGCCAAGAAGAACTGCACACACTTCACACACACTTCACACACACTTCACAACTGTTTCTCTGGATGACTCAAGTTTCCCTGTGGCTCTCGCAGAGCAAAATCGGGGCTGGGAGATTGATGGGACCGAAGGGCGTGGCTGTGGATAAGAACGGACATATCATCACCGTTGATAATAAGGCCTGCTGTGTCTTCATATTTCAATCAAATGGGAAGCTGGTGACAAAGTTCGGAGCCAGAGGAACATCAGACCGACACTTTGCAGGTACTGTCTAAATGTATTAAAAAATGGTATTATCATTGAATCGATCTTCTTGCAGGAAGAAAATATGTACACCAAATGATGCTCAGGGCATGTGGTTGGGCCAGAATTACAGATTTCCTTCATGCTTTATACTCTAATAAAGGAATGTCGATTTGAAGTATCATTTATTAAGATATCGGCATGTTTTTTTATCCTCCTTTTATTTTTAGACTTAATCTAATGTTAGCATGTATAGCTGCTTGTTTAATTATTTTGTTTAAAAATTATAGCCATTGTCCCACAGGTATTGATTCTTTATATTGCATTGATTATCTTATACTGTTAACATGCACCTGATCATCACGGCACAAGGCAGAGCTGCAAAGAGGCAAAAGTTCATAATGCACACTAATGCATGGAAATAATGTGAAGATGTTCTCCCTGTCTTTTGCTTTTCACTATAATGTTTGGGAGAACAATCACGTCTTGATAGGATTTGCTTGCATTACTGAAGTCCCTCATTTTTACTGCTTCAGTTGTTGACAGCAGTATTTCAGTTGGAAATCACCCGTTCTTTCAATTTAATTTCTCACTTGGACTTTTTTCTTTCCTTTTAGAAAAAAGTGGTGCAAACATTGCACTGGAACAAAAGCTTAGTAAATCTGGCCCTGTTTTCAGTAAGTAATGAAGTCACTGTGAATGTAAACTATTCTATGTTCTTTGTACGTGTTTATGCTCTGTGGTTTCTCACGTGTTGTCCCACGTCATCTGTGTGTCCTGTGTGTCCTGTAGTCCAAAAATAGTGGGGAACATCCTGTTGTATAGCAGTGGATGACTCATCGTTTTTCTCTTTACCTCTCGTTCTTCTCTGCTGCTTTCAGGTCCTCACTTTGTGGCTGTGAATAACAAAAATGAAATTGTGGTAACAGACTTTCACAACCATTCAGTCAAGGTAAGGCTTGTTGCAAGTATGTACATATATTAAAATGACTATATTTGAATCAAGTTTACTTCCAAAGGAATACAGCAAACCTTTTCCTGAGTTCACATCACTTGTGCTGTGTTGTTTTCTATTATTTGTCCCTTTTTGTTTGGTATATATTTGTGATATGTGTCACAGCAGTGTAATCTTTTACACATTCCTTCCTGTGTAATTTCTCCTGCAGGTTTACAATGCAGATGGGGAGTTCCTGTTTAAATTTGGCTCCCATGGGGAGGGGAATGGCCAGTTTAATGCTCCAACGGGCGTGGCTGTGGATGCCAATGGAAATATCATCGTGGCTGATTGGGGCAACAGTCGGATCCAGGTTAGTTTTAAGGAAAAACCTTTTCTCATTTACGTCAGAGACCGACTTTGTAAGTATATAACTAACCTTTTCCTCTGTGCTGTGTAACCAACCAGGTGTTTGACAGCTCAGGGTCCTTCCTGTCCTACATCAACACGACAGCGGACCCTCTTTATGGCCCCCAGGGCTTGTCCCTCACCTCTGATGGTCATGTGGCAGTGGCAGACTCTGGGAACCACTGCTTCAAGGTCTACCGCTACCTACAGTAGAAACCTGACACCGCCATCTTCACCACGGCAAGCACTGACAACGACACAACCAATGTATTCCACAGGGTGCAATGACCTTTCCAATGCACCCTTTTGATGTGCACATCAGCTGTTCTCCTGGATATAATTAAGTGTCTGAGTTTACCCTCCTTTTGATGTGTATTGAAGGTTGTTTTTAAAGTTGGATAATGTAGCATCCTTGGGACAAGTAATGGACATAAAGCTATAAACAGTTTTAGAGAACTTTCAAAAGCTTTTTTTTGTCTTGTACGCTGTTGATGGTATTATTACACAACACTTTATTTGAGACCGGGCAGGGTAGGATATAGAGTGAAGTATTAAATGAGCCATAACTTGTTCAATTGCATGACCTTTTATTTTATCTTAATGCCTAGGCAACAACACAGTGTACACATCGGTTGCTTTTCTCATAAACTAGTTAATGCTTACAGTAAAATTAAAACAGCGCTACGCTTCTCCAGTAATGAAATATATAAAATGTTTCATTTACTGACGACTCACATAAAGATATCACCACCATCCGTGCATTGATTTGCTGTATGTAATGTATATACATAAATGTATATTGTGTATATTAGATCACTACGTATGTATGTGCTATGATTTTGAAATACGCAGCCTTTTGGTTATACAGAGAACAGCAGTCAAGGATTCTAAACGTGTTTATGGCAGCTGTTAAAAAAGTGTGCTTTCTAAACATACCCAGCACATGCTTAAATGAAGTGTCATATTTATTGCTAATGTAAGCAGCACAATATTTGTTTTTGTTAATATCTATTGTTTTAAAAGGGGAAAAAAAACAAAATGGGGAAAAAAAAAGGCTATTTATTTTATACACTAGCTCAGCATTTAAAAATTATTTTTCTATATTGATGTGATTTTTTTTCTTCTTTAGAGCTTCACACTTTCCGTAAAAAGGACATTTCATCTTAAATCAGGAGTCAGTATCTCCACATATTTGGAACATTTTGACACGATTTTCTCTTTTCAAAACTACGAACCCATCTTTGTTTTCGTTTTGTTCAAGGATTTCTAAGTTTCCCTGACTTAAATATGGGCTAATAGATAGATATTGTTTTGCCTTTTATTTATTAAAGTCCTAACTGTTACAAACCAGAAATGAAACACATATCTCAGGAAATCCATCCGAATTAGATTAGCATGCCAATGGAAAAACGTCAATACTATAATTTATTTCTTTATTGTTGATCAGCTTTAAAGAGAGACATTGGCAGCTTTGAGATAAAACTGTTATTCTGTGCACATATACTTTGGATCCAAGACCACAACAATGAATGGGATGGAATATGAACACCGTTTCACAGTGGGCTTTCACATAGGAACCAGTTACAACTATCTATGAATGATAGTTTATTAGATGGCATTTGCCAGCAAACTCATCCACGCTTTAGAAAACACTCACCTATTATACTGCTATCTAAGAAAACGCTTTTAGATCTGAGTTTCTGCCTGCACTGCATCAAGCCATGATTTTCAAGTAGAAACCTGTACCAGTAGAGCTGTTGGTGCTCTTGCTCTGCCTAGTGTTCATTCTGTGTAATGTCATGAGAAAATCTGGTGCCACAGCAGAATAGTGACCATGGTGCAGGAAAAAGGCAACTTCCTGGTCTGAAATAATTACCCACAGCACTGTGCTAAACACTCACACACCAACATTCACAATCCCAAGTGTCGAGACTTTCAGACCTACAGGATGTGACCTGATTTCACCTGTTGAGACAACCAGGAAGCTGCTGTTTTCCGTGCACCTGATCTGTTGTTTGACTTGTTGCCAAGCAGAAGCCCAGACATCTTTCAAGAGTCGAAGGCTCCACCTTTTCAGATGTTTCTGAAGCATTTTACCCTATGCTGTGTCACACCAATACAAACTGTTGTGTTTTCTTTATGAATATGCACTGGTAATAAAAGCACATGGTTTACTGACTCGTTGTATGACTGATGTTATGCTTGACTTGCACGGAGCAAATTTGGATGTTTCTAAATGTGTTTGTAAAACTAAAGTGAAATAGGTTAAGTAAGCACAATTTAAAATGTTATTTTAAATTCTAAAAATAACATCAATTGCACTTCAAATTGAATGCATTATTCAAGGATGTAGCTAAAAACGTTATAAACATTCTAAACAATACTGTCTGTTAAGTAGATAGTCACATGATGCAGATGATATTTACAGAACAGTTGCTGTTTGATTAAGTAATAATTGTTGAAAATCAACAGTCATCAGTCATATTGATTATTGCATTTCTGATTGTTCTTTACCTTTTTGCACCATGGAAATAATACAGATCTAGGTACATGATATGGTGTGGGATTTCCATTTTGGGGGGTTTAAGGTATAGGTATATTTATAGATTTCTATACAGCCTTTTTTTTTAACAATGTTTTAAGGAAAAGCTTTACATCTATTACAAATAAATGGGATAATTGTTCAAAGAAGCTTCAAGCTAAAACATGTGTTTAATCAAAAAACAAAACTTCTTGAAAAATTATTTTATTTGCAGACCATGCTGTGCTTCTGGTCTATGTTACAAATACTTACATCACATACATTATGCATTTGTTTTAACAGTAACCATTCCCAATACATCCAAATGGTATATTTATAGGTAATACATAAGTATATACATACATACATGTGCATAAAAAAACTCAGGATGCACTCAAAGCATTAGAGTGGAATAAAAGAACCGCAGTACATTGATACAGTGTCAAACCTAGATACGCAAGCAAATGTAAAATGTGCACTGAAAAGAATCATACTTGGGGTAAACATTTCATGAAGGTATGATTTCACAGGTTGCATAGCATTGTATTCAATTTCAAAATAAAATTGCAAATAAACTTGACATTTATAGAGTAGTGATTAGAGTCTATCAAAGGATATACAGTAGTATGAGGTAATCAGATTGTTTGGCAATCCTGTGCCTGCATCTGGAAAACTAAAACGTATACATAACCTGTATATGTTTATTGTACATTGAAATCTGAATTACATTACAATTAGAATTTGAGAACAATAGGTTCAAACTAAATCATAAAGGGAGAGGTAAGGATATTATGATTTGTTTCTGCGCTAAATGACAAGCACACAAAATAAATAGATACATTTCAAAGTGATTGATAGGGGGGAGGACAGCAGTTCTGAATGTATGATGAGTCAAGGTAAAACATTTAATTCCCTTTAAGTATATTGGCTAATTGTGTTGTTTAAATGGATTTAAAAATGTAATAGTTTAGAGTGGAAATGGTTCCTGTTGGAGAAAGTGGATCTGGAACCGCTATTATAGTACACTGTACATTGCAGACCAGCTGTCTTGAAAGTCAAATCATTACTACAGACTCTAACAGTTTTACTTTTCTTTTTTGATTTAGTGCCAAGTGTCAATTATAAGTTTGAAAGATAATACTAAATATTAGAGGGGAGTTAAAATGTGGCCATTGATAAATACTGTTGTTCAGGGGATACAGTGTAAAAAACACACTAATGGAAATACAGTAGATTAGACACATTTGCAACAACTCCATTCAAATCAGCATTTTGACTTATTTTTACGATAAAAAAACAAAACAAAATTAAATGCATGCTAAATCATGAACACAACAAACAAATGTGAAACATTGTTTTTCACTTTGATGTCTTACTGATCATCACACAGGACAAATCATAACGTACAACATAAAACCTCAAAATGATGTGATTTCTTAGGCACGCACTGAATCTAAGGACAAATCATTCTCTATAAGAACAGACAGGTTGAACCAGTGTAAGCAGACTGTGGACAGTGTCTTGATGCAGAAAATCAAACATCTAAAGCCTGCCGTTAACAACTGCATTATTTGTTATATCCACCATCTCTTGACCTGCTCAGTAAAACACCAATTGCCATCCAAGTTAAGAGGCATCTTCTGTAGCACCTTTGGAAACGTAAAAACACCTTTTTGGGATCAAGTGGCATAAAAAAGCAAATCAATAAGTGAGTGCTGAAAACTCCATTAGAACCTTAAAACAGCCGCTAACAAAGTCCGTCTCAAATAAGTGAGTGTCCCAACCATTTCCCAGTTGTGGAAGTGATGCAGTATTTCAAGTAGATTTCTGAATAGAATCAAAGCTCTTGTAGTTTGTGTTGCTTCACACACAATCTTCAATCTTTTATCTAAATGTGAGGCACTTGCAAAAGAAAAATATTAACGGTAACTCTCTATCATCAGTCTGTTAGACCTCTGAGCTGTCACTGATGGCTTGTGTCATCATGGGCTCTGCGCTGCTGGACTTCTTCGGTACATCTTTCTTCACTCGCTTGGACCGCACCAGTAGCACCACCACGATAATGATGAGCACCGTGAGGAGCAGCCCCACAAAGACCCCGATGATCAACACTAGTCCGTCATCACTGTTGTCCTTCTGGTTGAGTTCACGCGGGATGATCCCTTTGGTGAAGATCTCTCTCTCTGGGCTCGTCCTCTGCTGGCTGCTGCGATCCAGCGCGATGTGGAGGATGTTGGTGCCGCGGTTGTTACTCTGACCAATGTCTTCTATTACGTCTGGCACATCGTTGGCTGATCTTCTTGCTCGATGTTGACCCTTTGGAAGTAGGCTTGTTTGCTGGCTCATTACATGGTACTCAAGGCTTCTCTTACCTATGCCACGGTTAGCGTTATTCCGAGAACGGACAGTGTAGATGGTGTGAATAAACCATTCCCTCCCTGCAGACACCTGAAGAGAGTAACAGTTATAGTTAGAAAATATTATATTTTCGATTTTCAGAAAATCTGTTGTTTTCTTTATCCTTAAAGGTGGGGTATGTAATTTTGGAGAAACCAGCTCAAGTGCGCTTCAATTTGAAAATACACAACCGGAAAAAATCTGCCACGTCCTTACAGAGCCCCTCCTCCAACACACACGAACGCGCACATGACCAATGAGGGCACGAGATAAGTTTGTGCACAGATGGAAGGCTGACAGGCAGGTAGGCCATCCAGTTATTTTAACCGGGCCGGCTCAGATGATTGGTCGTGCTTTTTACAGCGCCACGGCTTCCACAGATGACATTTTTTTATGTATTTATTGTCAAAGCATTTAATATATTCATTGCTATCGGGATGTTAAGAGCATTCCATGGAATATAACAAAAAGTGTTTCTGAAATAAATTACATACCCCACCTTTAACTAATAAAAGAAAAACACCATGATATACTTTTACCACTGTTCAAAATGCAGCTGCGGTCAGTGATGCTTGCCTTCAATAAAGAGTGTCCATGTTTGTTGTGGCATTTTTTCCGTACTAGTTTATATCTAGCCAACTTATGATGCCACCTCAAACTCAATGTGTGCCTTGTGCAGTTACTGTAGAATAGAGTTGAAGAACAAAACCTTTTCAGCCATTGGAAAAAACTAATCTTTTTAAATAATACCCTTTCCATCACTGTCAAAATATAAGTTAAACACCTGAGCCATAATTAGTGTGCTCAGTATGTGTGTAATGTTTTTATTTGTTTATTTCAATCTCATTTAATCTCATTGTGTTATAAATATCTAAAGCTTCTATAAGCTCTTTAGCGTTACTTAGCTCCCTTTACAATCTGTGCTATGTTTGTTTTTTTAGTTTCTACTGGATTGCTGAATTGCAAAAAGGTTTCCACGCAGATTGTCAGGTCATTGACCTTTTCTCTCTCGCCTTGATAAGAAAACAAAGTGAAAAGTCAGAGAAAAACAAACATTTTTTAAGGTTACTTTCTATGACCCTTGAACAGTATACATACTTTTTATCTTGCTCTTTTCACTTGCTCTTTACACAGCAGGATGCCAAAAATGTAAATTCCAGCACAAACATAACACAAACTAGGATGCATTAAGGATTTGAGAATAAGGACGCGGGTGTGTGTGTGCTGAATGTGTTTGTAGCGCTTAACATTCATACTGACCTGGAAGAGAGCTGAGGAATCTATTCTGAAACCATCTGACCCAGGTTGTCTCACTAGAGCTAAAGCGCCGGGGTCATCCACCGCAAGGAAGGTGTTGAAAGCTACATTACCAAATGAGAGGGCCTGGGTCTCTGGCTGGGCCTTGTCCTGGGGTGAAGGGTGAAACAGGAGTGAATATTTAGATTAAAATGGACACAAAGCCTGTGTGAAATGATGAGATATAATGTTTATACTTACAATTATCTTGAATCTATAGAGAAGAGAGGGAGCATCCGCCAGACAGCCAAACTCAAAGTTGCCGGGGTTGTATTTAGGGACATATCCATCCGCTCCAGTACACAGGAACACTTTCTCTATGTTACAGATAAAGGAGTCGCCCAAGTTCTGCACTGGATCCACCATCACTCGGCCGTAAATTGTATCACCTAAAGGAAAGATAAATACGAAATGTTATCACTGCAAAAAGCCTGTATATTAAAAGTTGTACTGGAGCAAGTTCTACTTTGAGAATAACATTCAAACGCCAGCAAAAACGACTCTCTCATTCTTGGCAAGAGGAGCTTTCCACACTAACTTGGACAGCAGCTTGAAGGATTTTTCAAAGACATTCAAGATGTTGTTGGAAAAAATAAAATCCAGCTCATTGTTTGTAGAAAAGACATGAAAGTGGTCAAAAGGACACTTCACGGACGCCTCATTTTCCTTCAAATGTATGCTGTTTGGTCAGATAGGGAACATTTATCACACAGGGATTCTAGTTTGATCTGTAGAATGATCTACACGTCCAAGGAGCAGTGTAATGCATTTTCAGTCGTTTTTACTACTTTTTGTTTATGTGTTTTATAATCCATAAGCTATCAAAAGTATTTTATGACTACATGTTATGCCTTACCCTGGGAGAAGGCAGTATCACTCTCCTGTCCAAAGCCCATGGAGCCGTCGGAAAGCCAGAGCGTCCGCTTTGAGAGTAAGATCATCTGTGTGTTCAGACTGAACTCAG